AGTTGAGAACCTTTCTAAATTTAAACTACCTATATAGTCATAATTACATTAATATGGAACAAAATTTGTTTACAGTAATTTTCATATGGGCTTAATCATTCTTGAGAAAAATATACACACAGTAATTTTGAGTGAATTTATCAGCTAACATTAAATAAACGAATAAATAAAGCAAAAGTAAAAATCAATAAATGAACAGGAAATAAACCCATATTTATGTCATAGAAAGGCGTGTGTTCAGCACCGTCCTTACGTAGAGTATTGCGCTTGCAAGGGAAGGTGTCATACAATAGACTTAAAAACTTTGTTGTAGCAACAAGCTTACTTATTTGTAAAATTGAGAATATTTAAACGGAAAAAACAGGAGTTATTAAATAGTTTTTTTAAATAGTAGTATACTTTGCTCAGAAATCTCAGAACGGAGTGAGTGCCTGATTTTAAAATATTATCTGGGGAAATTGATTTGGATAAATAGTTTAAAATTGTATGAACATCATGATTCATTATATGCTGCAACCTATGCAAATTTCATACCAGTTAAAATTACTGGAATCAATGGAACAAAATCGTCAGGCTTTCTCATCCTTAAAGCCTTATTATTGCCTGCATTGACTCTTTACCGTCAGCAACAGGACCCAAGTATCCTCGGTTCCCTTCAGAGGCAGAAGAACGTTGCCCACTCCAGCACTGCCACTTCGGGAAGATTTATATACGTTCAGTCACCGGCAGCTGTGGCCTAAGATGCATAGATCACTTTCCAACTATCAAAAAGTCCCCAGAGCGAAACGTAGTTTTACGGACGTGTTTTGAATTCTAAACCACTTCGCTACGCTTCATCTTCGTACGTGTGAAGTACGTTTCATCCATCATTTACATGTGAAATGATTTACTCATTTCATTTTCCGATTGTTTAAACAGTCTAATGGCTGAAGATAGTAACAAACGGAAGAGGTGCTCGCAAATTTTGCTTCACGGTGCACTGTCCTAACAATCCAATTGAAAAATATGGTCTGGCAGGAAGGTTGCATGGTAGCATACAGTCGCTCGTCATTTCATTCACCCGTGGCGACTTGTGTGAACTATGTATTAATCTCTGACCCGGGGCTAAATTAAAAACAACATACGGACTTTGTCGCGGAGGCTGAAATTTTGATTTTTCGCTCTTTATCCCAGCTATCGAACATAGCAAATGATCCGAGAATTAGAAGTATAACGTTAACTATAACTAAAACTGTAACTATAACTATAACGTTAACTATATCTATAGCGTTTACTGTAATTAAAACGGTAACTATAACTATAACGTTAACTATAAGTATAACGATAAACTATAACCATAACGTTAACTAATGGTATAACGTTTATAAAATATTCATGACTATAACGTTTACTAAAACAATAACGTTAACTAGTATAACTAACGTAATCCCATGCCTATAACTTATTACTAAAACTATACCGTTATCTAAACTGGAACTGCTGGTGTTTCCACAGCCTCGGACCCGTATACTGATGAACGATCGAGGGTGCAATTTTCTTTTTAAACTTAGGTACTTGATATAAAGTAAGTCAAGTTGATACACAAATTTACCATTTTGTGCTGTGTTGTGATATTAAAAAACTCGGTTTTTATTATTTGTGTGTACAATTTTGATACTAGCGAATTTATTTACCTTTCAATTTATAAATCCAACAATTCTATTCACTCTTCCTTTTCCCTATGATTCGCGATCAATCCTCCAAAATGTAATTTTATTCCGAAGTAATATCGCGACACGATAAGTAGCGTGAATACGGGTTTAACCATTCCATTCAATATTTCCATTGCCTAGCTTCAAACAAACAGATAAAACATAAACACACAAAATTTACATATATCTGCGATGGCAACAAGCACTGATAAATTTGTCATCATGCCAAATAAATGTGGTTTAGTTCATTTTAAAGGGAAATATAAACTAAGGAAACAAGAACATTCCCTCCCTAGCGATATTAAGGAATTAATTAAAGAGTTCTCGTAGTGATCTGTAAATGGCCTATATACTACTGTATGTGTACTTCTGAGCTTGTTAGTTAGAACAGTGCCATGCTTGGCATAAATAGGAAGCTAAATATTGATCGTGCCATCTTGAAAGGCCTTCGGAGGTGTGGTATATCATCGAAACTTACATCTATTATGAATATTAAAAACATTTATTGCTCATGAAAAAAAACTGACATAACACGCATTGCATTTACACTTCTCCATCGAAAAGGTAAATGCGTTTGCTTAACTCTATAAGACAATAATATTTTTTTTGTCTTCGTTGTTCTTCAAATTAACATAGACTAATTTCGATTGTGACAATTTTATCGCGGGTGGCGGAGCCATGCACGTGTAGACAAGATGTAGCAGCCAGGCCACCGCACCCACCACCGCCCACCCCACGAAGGTGGAGATGTTGCCGTATGCGTCTATCATCACGCCTGAGATTGCTGATGCCAACGCGTATCCTGAAACAAAACATTTTTAAATGCAGTAACAATGCATGCTTAATTTATTCCTACGTTAACATTCAACTTATTTAAAATAACGACCCATCATTCGACTACTCGAATTTGTTTGAAGAACCAATAATTTGAAACCGATGTCAGGAAATTTATTAAATATATAGCCATCTATTTTAAAGATTCTCCGAAGTATATTAGATAACTTTTGTGATTTAATACTAATTATTCAACTATTTTCGCATTGAGAACCACGGGAAACATCTGCTGTCATACTTACAAACTTTCAAATCAAAATAATGTTACGTCTACTAATTGTTTTCAACGGTATAAGTAGCTTTTATAGAAACATTTCTTAACAAGAGAGAAAGCATTGGAAAACTTCAGAACGGAAATGAAAAATGAAATGAAAATTTTTTTAATGAAAATTCATCGATGCTGGAGATATCTCGATCCAAATTAAATTATTGTATTGTATTACGATCCTGAAATTTTGCAGTGCATTGTGTCTTAACACAATGCACTACAAAATTTTGTAGTGCATTGACTCGTGACTGCCCTCCCATGCACTACAAAATTTTATAGTGCATTCTATTTTGTATACAACAAATGCCCAGGTAGGAGGTAAGGAAACACAGTTACATGTTAGCCAAACTAAATTTCAAACTTGACTTCCAGAAGCACAATCACAATGAACTGAATGAGGTACATTTGCAACGTCTTGGGTATGCATCAAGGATCATCACACACTAATGTAGCTCCCCTAATGAATTACCTAGTATATCGAAGCAGAGGTTACCGAGACTCTGGACGGTGGTGGACAGCCCTACGGGGGAGTGGCGTTTTGCGTTGATGACGACCAACGTGTAACCAAAGCCGTACACCGGGCCGCTCAGGACTTCCACCAGGATCGTGGTCCATAGGGGGGCCCACTTACTAGTTACAGATATTAGGCCCAACCGAAGCACGTGGAGAACGAATACCATGGATTCTATCTTCTCGGATCCAAATTTCTTAACCAGCATATCTGTCAATCAAGGCATAAAGAATATCCAACAACTTTTCTTACTTACTGCTTTCCATCATTTCATTAATTTTGAAATGATCACATGATTTATGTAGATCCGATTACAGAAGTAATCGATCCGATTACAGAAGTAATCACATTAACAATGTATTAATAGTAAAGTAAATGAATCTTTCGAAAACAATTTGTGAGAACAGTGAAGTGCCTGTATCCGTATGTCGACAATATTTACGTCTCTCTTTGTTGGTCTACAAAGAGAAACTAACCGGAGTAGTGTAGGCAGGGGAGCTCAGCCGCGCTTCTTACAAACACCGTCAATCCTTGCATAAGCTTTATCCACTTCATGGCAGGAGTTCCTGCCGCAACTTCTTCCTGTAAACTGAGATATTAATTATCAGCTGGCTAAGAATCATATCCTAATAATATTTCAAGATCGTGTTCAAATTCCGTCCAACAGATGGAATTATGCGTCTTAAATACAACCTCGTGCATTGAATGCCGCAATGCTCCTGCACGCTTTGTATCAGTGGGTGTAATATTCATAACATTTGCCAAATAATTTATAATGTTCTACAAAACGGTAAGAATTATTTCTAAGCCAGGAGATTGCTTTTCGGGAAGTAATTTAACTAACAGCAACTCACGCGATTAAGTAGAGTTGTGGCACTGCGTTGAGTACGCCACTCATGAGTGAAGATAAGAGGTAGACGAGGAAATGAAACTGTTTCAGGAGGGGCTTGACGGCCTTCCACACTGTGTCCTCCACCTTCAGGACTGGCACCTGGCAATCGGTGAATTCATTACTTCCTGGGAAAAAACATAATTTTAAGGACGTTTATTAAGGGAAGCGTCAAGTCATGGCCAAAAATGGAAAAGTTTGTAGACGCTCATTTCAAAGGCCAAGAAACTGCGCATCTAACGAGCCTTTTGTGTCTATTTGTTCGTTGGAAGCGCATGTAAAAGCCGTGGAAGCGCATGTAAAACCTATACCTTCAATGATCATAAATTTCAGTTTTTTGGCTCTCTTGAAAAGTTGAAATTTTCATCTTAAAAACCTACAGCGTCTTGGAATTTTTTTCTCCTCATATGATTTTCAAGCTAACAGCATTGAGAGACATTTGATTCGTAAAAAAATCTCTAGAGATCCTCCGGTCATTTTTTTCATTTCTTTTTTGATTTCTTTACGCATCGAATGATATGTCTCTCGATGTTGTAGCTTGAAAATCCTAGGAGTAGATTTATACACTCACTACCCCCACTTTTGCCGTTTTCTATGAATTTAACGTAGGCCCTACCGCAACAGCTACTCCTAACGTAACCTAACCTAACCTGCGCCGCCTGTTGCGGTAGGGCCTTTTGCGCTCCGGCCAGTTGGGCTCCGGCGCTGTGAAGCAGTGGCTGTGTTGTGCAAAGCGGATTTACTGTTAGCCGGGGTTACCCACAGCTCATTGGTCTGAGGCTATGTGTAGATATTGCATGCTGATGGTTGGCGTTGGGCCCAGGGCCTGTTTACGAGTCAATTTTGTTACCCACGGCTGCGCTCCCGACTATAGATGGTGCCCTTAAATTTCTTGGTGATAAACTCGAAATTTTTGTTAACAGAATCATCGATCTTTGACGAAATAAATCATTGTGTTAAGTTTTGAGTTGAAGATTGATGGTTAATACTAATAGAGGCTTCGTTACACCATATACATTAAGCTATCTTATCCTTCGAACAACTGTGGACCATTGAACAGTAAACTGAAAAGTCGTTATTCGTCTTACTTTAAGACGGCTGGCAACTATTATGTCGATCCCCAAGAAAACAGCGACCAGGATGAATGCTGGTGTGTAGTCTTTAGTTTGCGCTTCTCCAGAGAGCCAGTCCACAAGGAAGCTGGCAAAAGGACCGAGAAGTCCCCAACCCAACATCCCCCACAGACGAAGACTTCCATAGTCACCGTCTTTACCTGCAGAAAAAATAAATGTCATTGCAAGAATTAAAGCATATTGATGATACGTCTTCGAAAATAATGTGTGAAGGTTCATGCAGCCAATTTTACTGTACATTATTTACCAGCTCACCTAGCTTGTCCATCGAAATAGCGTCGGTGAAGGAGTTGGACGTCGAGTACGATATTTCGGACACGATTTTGAGCACCACCAGGAACCAGAAAGCTCTTGAACGAAGAGGATTACCGCCGCACTCTGTCGTGGCCCACTGCCCTCCAACGCACTTCAGGCTGCATTTGAGGCTCAAATTGTTTGTGCGTAAATCTCTTGGATTATTTTGCATATGGAAACATCTAAAGAACTTCTTCATCCGAAAATTCCGTCTATTCTGAATTCCAAAAGAAATAGGCACATTTCTTTTGCACACTAAGTCAATCTATTTCAGAATGTTTAATCTGTGGACTAATGATGGTACATGATGCAAGTCAATCAATTACCTCAAACAAATATTTTAATTTAATTTGTATCGATGAATTCAAATATTATAAAACTTTCACTATTTATCACGAATGTTTCTTAGTGAACCAGAGAGAATTACAAAACAGGGTGATTCACGGAAACTTTTTGTTTGGTATTAAGCACCAAGCAGTCAGATGTTGTAGGAAAAGGACGGAGGGTATTTCATATGAAAGGCAAGGTCATGCAGTCTTGTTTCCCTCCTAATCAGTTGCCACTATGCATTGAACAAGTGAACAGCGCGCGTTTGCTGTCAGACATACTTTTCTCTTGGCCGTTTTGCAGACTTGTCTGTGTCTGAGACAACATTTTGCAGAGCGCCTCATATTTTTGAGAGGTGACTTTCTTAGGCAGGCCCGATCACCCGATTTGGCTCCGTGTTATTTTTTTATGAGGTTATCATAAATAAATTTTTTACAATGACAGTCCAAGGACCCTACCTCATTTGAAGATCATACGCCAAGCTATCGCCCAAATACCCGTAAATATGCTTCAGCGAGTTGAATGGAACTTCAAAAATCGACTAACTGAATGCATTGACAATGTGGGCCATCATTTGTCCGATGCCATCTTTAAACTAAATGATGTAAAAATTCAGTTTGTCTTTATCACTAAAATTTATATTAAAATTATATCTTTACTAGTTCTTATTTTATTGAGCTTTCAAATCAGGAAGTTTGCGTGGATCACGCTGTATCTCATTGAATTGATGTTATCTCCAAAATTTTATTTATTAAAAAACGAAATTACGTGAAAATATCCTATAGGTCCTCCCATGGCGCATTGCAGCTAATTAGTTCAGAATTAAAGGTTCAAGGCTAATCGGTTCAGTTGCGAAAGAGTTGCATTTTGCGTTTGAGTTAGCTGGCAAGTTCGCGGGTGAGTTCGGAGAAGTGTCGATCCTGTCACATTTCTTCGTAAACACGAATACAGTTTCTCACAATCTTTAACAAAACGTGCCTGCCTGCGTAGCGCGATGGCACACATTGGACGCTGGCGTCGCCAGGGGCGGCGACGGCGTAGGTGGAGAAGTTGGAAGACGAGTTGACGAGCGTCAGTTGAAGCAGCGCCGACGTCCAAGTAAACTGGCAGTCGCGACCTGCCTCCAGCTCACAGGAACCTGCCGTCCGGAACCCAACGACCTTAGCACCCTGCATTCTTTCTAATATTTGTCATTTTAAATGTTTCAAAATTATGTTTCAGAATTGCGAAATTGTCTTTTAATTATATAACTAGTTTTGTCCTAACTTATAAGTAAAATCAAATTTTGTCATGGTGCATGTACGCTTAATAATGCCTACGCTACTGCATGGAGTTCTCTATTGTAAGCGTACTTCATACCATGTCTTACTGATCCTAAGATATTCGCAAAAGTCACTCGAAATGGCGTAGCTTAAGCTTAACTTACTCGAGAATGTTTAGCTTAAAATTATTCCCAATGAATAGGAACTGTTTATTCAATTTAATAAAACATGGCATTTTCATGGAGCTATTTGAAATTGTAGCTGCATTAGAAAAATTTAAAAATTTATCTTTATGAGCTGCTGATGTGCAAGATAAAAATGAACCATGTAAAACCAACCGTTCTTGGGTAAGACGATAAGTAGATCTGCCCATGGTATCGAAGTTTCGTTCGATGATCTCATGTGTTCTGTGACACTATTCTCGCCACATCCAGGCTTTGAAAAAGTCTGGTTAACAATATAGATTGGCAAAAGGCCACTTTGTGCAAACTCCAACCCTTGAGGCAGTGATACTTCAGTATCCTCATTCCCAGATGTAAAGCTGAACGACGACGAGTTGAAGATGTCTCGTTGCACGATCCACGCGTCGGCGTAGCAAGGAGCCTTCGTGAACTGGGGAACGAACGCGACGCCGCTGAGGGAGAGGCAGCAGAGCAGCACCATCCCGACGAAGAGAGGTCGGCGGGTTAAAGGGAAGGCGTCAGCCAAGGTGGAGAAGAGGGGCTTCACCACTACTGATAGCATTAGGATTACAGCACCCACCGTCCCCATCAGGGAGACAGAGGCGCCCAACTGAAGACTTATCACCAGCCCGAAAGGTACAACGGGTGCCATACCTGACGAAATATTTTTTTTTGCCTTTAACATGAAACAATATTTGATTGTGCTTGACACACGGCCTGAAAAATGTATTATCTTTTGCATTAGACTCCAAAAAATTGTAAATTAAAACTTATAAATATAATCGAAATTTGATGTTCCACATGAAATTCAATGCATGTCTCCCATAACCGTTTTCGCGGACTTTTCAACAGGATTTAATTGGAGAATCTCGTGAAGAAGGCAACAAATAATTTGAGAATGATAAATATGAATTTATGTTTTACTGTCCAAGACTGGAAACGAGAGCAATAGGAACGCTGAAAAGGGCCTCCTATTTATTGTTGAGACCTGGCCTCTCCATGTTTATCTCACGTCTTTATTGCTCTCCGCAAAGTTTGCCCTCGTCCGGCGTAATTAATTATTGGCAATTTGACATACCATGGGTGTCAGAATTATTGTTCCGACACGATGTAATTATTTATTTGGTTGAATTTATGGACGAGACCTGACTCATCATTAAAACTTGGACAGCATCAGGCTGTCCAAGTTTTCTCGCATGCGTAATTAAGTAGAGATGTGTAAAGAAAATATTCATTTTCTAATGGCACATTCTACAGCAACCCATGCAACTGAGACAGCTTCTTGCGAAGTTGTGGAAATTATGCAAGTGTTAAACTACATACATCTGAGTCCTCATTTACTTACCTCCCCAGTACAAGAAGAAATGAAGCTTCATCAGCCATAACTCCTTGTTAATCTTCATGAAGATGTAATTCCGTACAACCAAGTTAAAAAATAAAGACTTGAAAAACTCCGAAATTAATTTCTTCTTAACAAAAATGTGGTCACGGAAGAGTTAGGAAATTAGAATTAATCTATAGACTTGTGGAGCGCTAACATAAATGAAAAAAAATGAAAACCTACACATTTTAAAAATTAAATTTAAATTTCTCCCCCTCCACATCCTCCATGCTCACAATAAGTACCTGAACTTCAAGAAATAATGACAATATGCGAGTTTTCTTTAAAATGCGCGGGTTTTCTATTAATATTTTTGTTAGCCCCGAGAATACTAATGCAAATAAAGCACATAACTGCATGACGCAGAGCACGAAAGTTGCTATAATTTCTCATTGGTCACTCGAGGAAATCCATTTCGACGGCAAAAATTTACAAAAATTTCACGCATTTCACGCACTCACACAATTGCAACGGCAAAGAATTCCTTGACTTTCTCGTTTTTTAAGAGACATCAATATTCGTATCTGTTAAAAATAACTTTTACTGATAAATTTTTTTGAAGATTATCCAACGTTCGAGCAATTACTGCCGAAATCAACTATAGTGCGAGTTGCTTGCTTTGCCAAGACGCGCTGCCAACTGCCATGGCCATGAACATGGAGCGCTCAGCGGGGAATTGAGCGGCGAATGTCATCCTGTATCAGATCGTATAGGGTATTCAAGGTCGATATTTTGGTACTATATTAAGGCTTGCTCAAAATGGTCGCATTTGAAAAGTTACCTCGTGTTGGACATGATTTCAAGAAAAATTAAAGGTGATGTGCCTTCCTGAAAGGTACTATCAATCCTACTGAACATTGAATTCTAATGATGTGATCTTGGTAAATTTTGGTTTATTTAAAACGTAGATAAATCTAGTCAAGTTTATTAGTATTTTTAATAGATGCGCTGCTCTATTTTTTCCGATTGTGATAAAAATCTGGAAATGTAAGGAGAATTTTGCAAAGCATTTAGGATTTAAGTAGTTATCCTGAATTATCGAGCTTGAGAAGCATCCTACATAATCAGTCACTCCCCTACGTAGCCCGGGGCTCACACTAGACGTTGTCATACACAAGGGGCGGAGACGCCGGATGGCGAGTTGACGAGCGTCCCGTGAATTAAACTGCGCAGACAACACGGAAATGGGGCAGTCACGACCTGCCTCAAAGTCATAGCAGTCTGCAGTGCCGTGAAGTATAAACTTGCGGGAGATGTGCACACTGCATTACTTAATCGAATCTGTCACTTTCACGATCACGTGTGTTTGGATAAAAACCCTGTATTTCTTCTGAAAAATGAAGACGGCAACATAAATACGCTTTACATTAGTTTTTGCATACAAGGGCAGAAAACCATTTAGTGAAAAAACGTAATTTGTTTATTAGCAATGTTTTTTGTGGTTAAAAACTCTTAAAAATGTAGAAATATAATAAACAGCAATTGCTTATTACATAGTTTTTAATGAAAATTTTGGATTTGCGCCAAAACCAGAGATAGATGGTTCATCTTATGTGGGTGCACCAGATTCATGTTAAACAGACTGTTGTTCTGCATAACCCTTGGTTTTCTTGGTTATAAATGTGTGTCTCTTTGTAGTACCAACAGAGGATAAAATCGGCGCTCAATTCAACATTTACAGAAGCTTGTAAAAGATAAATAACAAACAAACAGCACATTTTTCGATAGATATACAATTACATGTTCATTGTACCATTGACAGCTCCAACCTAGCCTTTTTATAACATCTGGTGTACTTGGCCTCTAGGTTGTCTGTGACGCTATAGCATCCTGCAGGAGTCTCCTATCTTCACAGGGTTCCATTTTTCTTGATAGTTCAGCATCTTTGAACGTTTTGCTTCATTACGCACATCGCTCACTACTCCAAAATGGGCAAGCAGAAATTTGGCTGGAGGCGGAAAAAATTATTCTTATGGGTGACATCGACACCCCTGGATAATAGCCATTTCTGTCCGAAGGTTTGGTAATCTGTTACACGTGTGTTATCCGGGAAGCATTACTTACTGGCCCAATGGTTACAGTTCAGAGTACCAAGATTGGAGCACTTTATTAATTATCAGCACTAATACTAGGAGCACAGTAAGTAAGTATATGAAGACACCACTATTAAATGTCTGATACTTTCACGGAATTATCAATCAAAACGACTTTCAAGATGAGGAAGAAAAAGCACCTCATTCTTCTTCTTGATTCGAGGATTCTTCTTGATGCTGTGTTCGACACGAAAAAAGGGCTTCCATAAAGCCAGTCGATCCATTTGCAATACAGTCAGGATCACTACTGAGTGTGGATTGAGACTTGCCGCCCTAACTGCAAAAAATCCTTCTTGATCTGCACATAAATTAATAAAGAAATATCAATTCCATTTAGCGCATAATAACTAAAATTAAGCCATAGGCCTCATCCAAATTCTCTCCATTTTTCCTGCTCGAGTTTATGCCCTAGTGTACTGAAAATGTGTTAATTATGCTATAATATCTAAAAATTTGATTGACGTAAACAGAGCCTAAATTTGGAATTTGTACCCAGAAATCGGTTGTTTTTGCTTATTTCTGTATAGATGGCGCTAGTGTAACAGAAACTGTGGGAATGCTTGCCATCACACGAGTTCGATCATGTGTCATAAGTAATATCTGTCAATAAGAAGGAAAGAAAAGCACAAACATGCCGAAAGTCGAACTAGTCGGAGAAAGATCGTCAGACTCTAAATGAAATCAGTAATTAAGACCACACATGAAAAAGCTGCTAAAATCATCACAGAGCTCAATGAACAACTACAGAAAACAGGTTAAAAAAAACTGTTGGTCAGTAGCAGTGAAAATTTGAATCACGCACAGAAGAGTGACTATTAAAAACTCAGCAGCACCTCCAGAGAGAGAAGTTTAAAGGTGAAAGGTAAAGGTAAAAGGTTTGAAAAGTAAACTCTCCCTTCCTTCGCCGAGCGATGCACAAGTGTTATTTTCTCATGTGGTTCATTTTTCATGTAATTTAAAACCGTACGTCTGTCTAGTGTTCGTTGGGAAACAGCTGAAATAGCCTGAATTTGGGTTTCTCTCATTCTCCGAGAGTCTTCAAATTTTATGGAAAATACTGAAAGCAATACTGCCTTGAATCCAGCTACTGAACGTTTAGCCCTTTTGTGACTGACTGTGTTATACTGTGAAATATGAGTAACACTGGTTAGCACATGATAACTAACTATGATAGTTATTGATTCAATAATATTCTGTGTTTCGTACAAATGCCAGAGTTTACCACCTTGAACAGCAAATGCTCAAGTATTCCCAACCCTCAAAAATATTGCCGTTTGCTGCCTAAAATATAAGTGGCTTTAATAGCCTCTCAATGGTCAGAGAGTTAAAAAATAAAAAAAAAAAATAATAAAAAAAAAAAAAAAATTAAAAAATAAAAAAAAAAAATAATAAATAAATAATTAATAAATAAATAATAGTTAATATTAACTGAGTCAAGGTAAAGGTTATAATTCAATTAAGTACCTCTGGCCCTACGATGGCTAAAAAGTAAACCAATAATCAACCCAAAGGACAAGATAAAGGATTCTAACAACTATAGCAACGCAGGGTTCCAAGATACAATTATGCCTGACCACAGCCAAGTATCTATGATCGAGTGCGTCTAAGAAACGTAATAGTTTGGCTGAACTAAAGAAGTGACTTTGCATATATTAAACGATAACCAATAAAGGGGTCTTGTTTATGCGACCAATTCAAGTTGTTAGAGAAGAGTTCGAGATAACTGAACCAACCTGACACGTTCACTCTTTATCAATAATCCCCTTTTAATACTGTAAAATTCTCCGTAGAGTTGAGAACCTTTCTAAATTTAAACTACCTATATACGTAGTCATAATTACATTAATAAAGAACAAAATTTGTCATACAGTAATTTTCATATGGGCTTAAACATTCTTGATAAATATTTATGCACAGTAATTTTGAGTGAATTGATCAGTTTACATTAAATAAACGAATAAATAAAACAAAAGTAAAAATCAATAAATGAACAGGAAAGAAACCCATGTTTATGTCATAGAGAGGCGTGTGTAAAGCTACCGTGCACTCCTGCAACCATACAGATGCCTGGTACAGGGACTGTGTCTGCATCTGGTACCGGTACGATGGTAAAATAATGCACCATTTTTTTATTAATATTCTACAATCTACATCAAATTGCAAAAGCACCGTCCTTACGTAGAGTATTGCGCTTGCAAGAGAAGGTGTCATACAATGGACTTTAATAACTTTGTTGCAGCGCCTAACTTACCTATTGGTAAAATTGAGAATATTTTAACGAAAAACAGGAGTTAATGAATAGTTTTTTAAATAGCAGTTTACTTCGCTCCGCGTTTTATCAATTAGACATCACTTTGCTCAAGAATCTCAGAACTGAGTGAGTACCTGATTTTGAAATGTTATCTTGGTTAAATTAACTTGCATGAGTAGTTTAAAATTGTATAAACAAATTTATTTATTATTTTCAGCAATCTAATGCAAATTTCATACCACTCTAATTTACTGAAGTCAATGGAAAAAATCGTAAGGCTTTCTCATTCTCAAAACCTTATTATTGCCTGTATTGACTCTTTACCGTCATCATCAGGACCCAAGTATCCTCGGTTATCTTCAGGAGCAGGCGAACGCTGCCCAGTGCCCACTCCAGCACTCCCACTTCGGGGAGGTTTACACGTCCACTTACCGGCAGCTGGGAAAGGCGTACCGGCAGCTGGGAAAGGCGTACCGGCAGCTGGGAAAGGCGTATTACCGGCAGCTGGGAAAAGCGTACCGGCAGCTGGGAAAAGCGTGCCGGCAGCTGGGAAAAGCGTACCGGCAGCTGCCCGTCGCCTCAAAGTCACGGGCCAACGTGGCTGTGGCCTAAGATACATAGATCACTTCCCAACTATCGAAAAGTTCCCAGAGCAAAACGGAATTTTTCGGTCGCGTTTTGAATTTTAAATCAATTCGCTACGTTTCATCTTTGTACGTGGGAAGTTACATCAATGATTTGCATGTGGAATGATTCACTCACTTCATTTCATGTTGTCCAAAAAAGTCAAATGGCTATTGGTAATAACAAACGGAAGAGATATTCGCAAATTTTGCTCCACGTTACACCGTTCGAACAACCCAATTGACCCGTCGTTTCATTCCGAATGTGTGAACTTGAAAAATCTCTGACCGCGGGGCTAAAAAACAACATACCCACTTTTTCGCGGAGGCAGAAATTAAGTTCGTTGCACTTCATCCCAGCTATCGAACAACGGAAATGATCAGAAAATTATGACTATAACGTTAACTATAAATTAACTATAACGTTAACTAAAACGTTACCATTAACGTTAACTATAACATTAATTATAATGTTAACTATAACGATAACTATAACTAGTATACCGTTAAAAATAACCATAACGTTAAAACTGTAACTATAACGTTAACTATAATTATAGTGTTTGCTTTAATTATAACGGTAACTATAAGCATAACGTTAACTAATGCTTAAACGTTTATTACGTATTCATGACTACAGTATAGCGTTTACTATAACCATAACGTTTAGTAAAACAATAACGTTAACTATGACTATATTCATTACTATAACTAACGTAATCCTATGCCTATAACTCATTACTAAAACTATACTATTATCTAAACTATAACTGCGGGGGTTTCCACAGCCTTGGACCCGTATACTGATGAACGATCGAGGGTGCAATTTTCAGAGACCGGAACCTAAACCTAATAGCTTCAAGCCCTAAAACCTCTGTGGCAGTTATTTGAATAAAAATTGTATTGTTTAGTTCTTATTTTATCCCACCATTTAAACTTTAAGCGAACGAGAACTTGGATCTGAATTTTTTTAACCGTCCAGGTTTTTGTTATTTAATCTCTTCATCTCCACAGTGTGTTATTCTTTTCAATGCAACAAACATAAAGGAAATTTTGGATTCTTTGTTCTGCTGTAATGATATGCAATGCAATATTCTGACGGTTATTTAGCTAGTAAATTTTTTTATCAAAAACCTATTTTCCATTTCAAAACTTACTTTCCAGTGCCCGTGTAGGCAAATGATCAGTGCTAAATAAGTGATGCCAAATATTTGCAAGAAGACCGAGTTTCAACACAAACGCATTGCAACCATTAATGAACACCTATTTACAGCAATTCATCAAAAGAAATACGAAATAATTGCATTATTATATACAGCCGAACAAATAACTAATAAATACAAAGTAGAGTAATTTTATTTTTAATGAAAATTGCGTAAGACATATGCCTTTTCTACTCCGTTCTGTTCCCGAAAAAAACGATTCCGCAGGCAAAGGAGTTGCAACTCGCTCACTAGTCTGCCCAAACCGCAAGTGCAGAAGAATTAAAAGCTATGGTCATGTAATACACAGAAAAAGTTCGTAAAATTGAAGAAAGATCGACGCGGTAAAGGCGAGGCTGAATAATCAGGCATCGTAGCAGAAAGTGTCCCGAGTGGGTGGAAGACGTTGCCACATGTTTTTCCAGATCAAGTATAAATGTTCAAAAGTGATCTTCCAAAGAACGCGTATTAATTCATTGATAGTTTAGTAAAAGATTGATGAAATATTGAAATTTACGAGCTTATCACTTATTTGGGTATAAGTAAAAATTATCAGGATTTACGTCATCACCACTTGCTCCGTGCCCACGAAGATAGGGTGACCTACCTGATGCACCAAAAAATTGTGACAAAGTGGTCCATCGTAGACGGCGTTAAATCCCGCAGGTGACAACGCTCACGAATTTCAATCCCAGGGCGACTCTCTACGAGGCTAATCCATCAGAACTGCAATAACAAACCAGGGTTGAAGGTATTTAAAGATTATTCCGTACAATAGCTACGAAATAGTTTAAAAAGATGGTAATACGAGTGGACATGAAGCATAAGTAGCAGCTAAGTATGTTCGGGTTGAAGCAACTTCAGACGGTGAAGCACCAAAAATTGAATGAATCACAAATGTATTAACTGAATTAACTATTATTAGTATTAACTGAAGGCTACGACCCGGAATTTATCTGGAAAGGAAAACGAAATTTTAGTTTTTATGGAAATGTTCGCTGTTCTACCGGGTAAGAGAAAAAAGACATTTGCTTGTTATATAAAAAAACGGCAATGCGGGAATTAGGAAATATTACGATTACTCGTATTCTTTCGGTTGATTTTACAAATTACGAATAAATTCGATTTCCAAAATAAGCCGGTAAGTATTCATAATGCTAATTGGTACGCGGCACTGCTTCCAACAATTTTCTAATATTTGATGTACTAACACAACTTAACGTAACTCCTAACTTGAAAAATCTCCTGGGGGGACGCACCTTCCCACTGCCAGTGCAGCTGAGAATTGTTGAAGCTTTGGCCTCATTCATTCACTCTTCGCATATAATTAAACTCATTTAAAATCTGTGTACTTGTGTATTTTGCTGGGGGGGGGCTGGACCTTGGCAAACACTGGGATTCTCATCAGCCAATCTGCCTCACCCTACTACCCCTCTGCCATGGGGCAACATGGATGAGCTTCCAGAGCTCCAAAAAACATCGAAAGAAGAAGAAGAACAATTTTCTAATATATTTAATAATTAAAACGAGACTCATGCCATAACACTTTTGCTTGAAAGTTGCTAGACGATAAAAAGAAGTGTTTTATCCACTGTCAAGATTAAGTGGTTTGTGGACTAAATATCAGTACATTATCTATACCAAGAGTCCAGTAAGAAAGCCAAAGGGGCTAGTTCCATGTTCATATACAATTCATTGATCAGAAGGACAGGCACCGTGAACAGAAACTATTAATTAAAATTGTTCGAATCCTTAGTAATTTACATAGAATGTTGTGTTCGGTTGATGCATTGTTCAACGCCCAGAGTCTACAGAGCTGTTCCTTCACAACCAACGTTTGCGCTGCGTCTTCGTTGCTGAACCTAGGGAAACATCGATGTCTTGGACACGAATTACCCACCACCGCCCACCCCACGAAGGTGGAGATGTTGCCGTATGCGTCTATCATCACGCCTGAGATTGCTGATGCCAAAGCGTATCCTGAAACAATGCATCCACGATGAAAATTTCGTGTGTCTGTTTGGTTACCACCTAATTTATCATTAAATTGACGGTTTGTTCATAGCTTGGACACTTGATATCATAATAGCGTTCATTTCATGCAGATGTTCTTGTAGTAGGCGACAACCAAGGAGTGTTTATGAATGTCCGAAATTTGTACAAACGTCATTTGCCATCACACGGATTTATGATACGAGATTATGAAATTACCAGGCCACGGCTAAAAAATAAAAAAATGTGTTGTAACACAGTAGCATGAATTTAAACCTACCAACAGGCTAGCCTAAGTTGTGGCATTTGGTGGCATGTGATTTGGAATCATGAAACTTTCAATGCTGCTATAGGGAGTTACAGTGAGTTTTTAGCACCAAATCAAATCTGCATTTCCCTTCACCATGTTAAATTATTCACACACCAACTAGTTTTCATATTTTGATGGTCCAGGTTTTATGACCTGATTCAAGCACTTTCATTCAACAGTATGTCTACTCTACATAGATGGCTTGTGCTAAGACGATCTAATTCTAATACTTGGGTGAGTGCTTAGGTAGGGTTTTTTAGTAGCAAAATTTGAGTTTTGTGAATATGTTGTTACAGTATTTAGAATGGAGTTTGCTTGCTTTTAAATATGAACGCTTTGTCAATTTACCAAACATCTGATTTGATTCAAACTTAGTTACTGCCTGTTAACTTCAACAGGAATTACTGTTGCACTGAATATTAGTCTGTCTATTTTAATATTTACTATTCAACCGCATTGTGATAGTTGCTGATTATTGTAAAATACTTTTTATTCAGTTAGTGCTAGACTGATTTGTTCTCACTTTGGTTAGTTTAATACCTATTTTATTGAGTATGTGTTATAAAGAAAGGTCGCATGGCTAAATAGTATTCCATTGCACGAAATATTGCCTTGTTCTCTTATGCATATTATTATGTTACTTCACTTAACTTACGAATGCTGCGTGCTATTTATCAATTATAGTTTTATTAAACTTCATTAAAATTTCATGAATTCACCTTTCATAGCATATGCATTAATTAGGCTTACTATTTTTTCCCACAGTTACTGCATGCCCTTCTCAAGCCCGTTAGTTTTCACTTTAATAATTTATCCCTTAACTTATTCCTTAATTTGCAGTTGTCAATTTACAATTTTCAATTCGTCATCCAACCCAATCACGATTTACCATATCACATTAAGGCTGAAAATCCGATCACACGTATATGTATATCAGTATACCTTGGGTTTACTGCTATATTATTTTCCTTCAACTAAATCATCTTCACTAGGTTGCCGGAGACACATAGTGAGTCCTTCTGACTCCACCTGCTTCCACGGCGCCGGCAACAATGAATTGATCACATTCACTCAATAAAGATGAATTTCTTTATAACCGCGATTGTAAAGACATAGGAAACTTACGACTTGAAAAAATTTTCGCTTCTCTCTCGCTGTCATTTCATTTTCTCCATCCACCTTATTTCAGCGCCCCCTATCGATTCTCCCAGTTTTTATGAGTGGCAGCGGACCCGTGCAGGCCTCGGTCAAGTGAATTCATTTCACAAAATGAAGCCCGCCTTTTGAGATAGTTTCTGTCGGTTACGGAACAGCCGGTTGTGAACTTGGCTGAGGTCAACAGTCATCATTATATTAATTAAATAACCGAAAATGTTGACCTAGTGAGGATACTATGAAGCCGAACAGTTCGTAGATTGTACATGAGTTTCAAGTTTACGATAAGCTAAAAATAAATAAGCCACGAAAGCGACTCATTATTAGCTCATGGATTTGAGCGAAATAAATTATTTTTGAAATTTTATTAGATCACATTAATGAAATGAAATAAGGATTTAGAGAAAGGATAAATGTTACAAAATAAACGGAAATATCACTTTCAGTTGAACTTGAGAATTACCTAATGTATCGAAGCAGAGGTTACCGAGACTCTGGACGGTGGTGGACAGCCCTACGGGGGAGTGGCGTTTCGCGTTGATGACAACCAACGTGTAACCAAAGCCGTACACCGGGCCGCTCAGGACTTCCACCGGGATCGTGGTCCATAGGGGGGCCCACTTACTCGTTACAGATATTATGCCCAACCGAAGCACGTGGAGAACGAATACCAAGGATTCTATCCTCTCGGATCCAAATTTCTTTACCAACACGTCTGTCAAAAACAGGAATTGAAATATGATGCAAGTAATACAAAAATAAGAACAATAATAGCAGCTCAAATTCTTGGATCAGAAATATGATTTCTATTGGAACGAATGATGCGCATCTAAGTTAACTCTCTGCCCTCGACTTTAAAAACAATAAAGAACGTTATTCGTCTTTGTCGAGAAATCAGTTTTATTTTTCATATCAAATCCATTTTCAAAGTGAGGAAGTGTTTTCAAACGAGTAGGGTACGCTCCACTAGAGAGGAAAGAATACATTTACATGAAATGAAGAGGGAGGAAGGATCCTCTCACTCATATGATCTCAGTTCGAACAATATTTATGTTGTGTAGCAGAGGCAGGAAGGGCGTTGGGATATTTAAATTACTTTCCAAATAAGTTTTCTTCGTATCAAGCATTCAAAAATTTTCAAAGAATCATGGAGACACTGACCAGCGAAATGCATGCAGGGAAGTTCAGCAGCGCATCGTACCAACACCGTCAGTCCCTGCAATAACTTCACAGTCTGCATAGCAGGTGTACCTGCAGCGACCTCCTCCTGCAGACTGATTTTAAACCCATCAGTCACCAAAATTCGTAGCAGATATATGTAGTGCAATTGTCATCACAGATGGTATGGTTCAAATCCAACAAATTTTGATTAGTAGTATTTTCACAAAAGCTTTGGACCGGTTTTGCAAGACGCTATATTCTCTTACTGCAACGATTCATTTCAACCTTTGTGAACCGCAAGCAATTAAGACGGGTGATTAAACGTCAGTCAGAAACTATTCAATGGTTTTACTTGCATTATTTTCAAACGTCGTTAACGTGTGAACTTACACGAATAAGTAGATTAAAGGTACGGCGTTGAGCACACCGCTGACGAGTGAGGACAAGAGGTAGACGAGAAAATGCACTTTTTTCAGCAAGGGCTTGACAGCCCTGAACACTGTGTCCTCTGCTTCCTGCACTGGCACCTGTACATCCATGCGCTCACTCATTACTCGCTGGGCTAAAACATGGCCTTATCGGACATTTGGAAATTAGATTGGTTATTGCTGTTGAAACGTTGACTCGTGACCATGTTATGAGTCAATCAATTACTTTACAAGTGGTAAATTTTGTGTGTTAACCGGAGCTTCTATGATAACCTTGTGTCTAAATTTCCTTTGACTCTCATTTTTTCAGCGAACCGTAAACTGAAACATTGTTTTTCGCCTTACTCTGAGTCTACTGGCAGCGATGACGTCAAATCCCAAGAAAATTGCGGCCAGGATGAATGCTGGTGTATAGTCTTTGGTTTGTGCTTCCCCAGAGTGCCAGTCTACGAGGAAGCTGGAAAGTGGACCTAGAAGTCCCCAGCCCAACACTCCCCACAGCCGTTGACTTCCATAGTCACCGTCTTCACCTGCAAAGAAGCAGACTCACACCGGAATTGCGACCGTCCCAGCAGATGTCAACTCTGCCTTACATTAAAATTAATTGGATTTGGGATAATGGAGTGATGTCAAAATTGGATTCTATTTTTCATTAAAACTAGATGATAAAATTTACCAATAGCTGTTATTGTGCTTTTCATACCGAGAGGCATTGCAAAGCTTGAATCGTTTTGGTATTCCTGAGATCGTCCAACTGGCGACAAATTAAGCGAAATAGGCGCTGAGTGTGAACATGAGCTCGTAAGTTGCCACGTGTTTTTTTCACGTGCAAGTTTTGCGAAGCTCTGATGAATCAAAGTAAAATAATCTCTAAGCAATATGATGAATTATATGAGAACCAATGTTTTCTTTGGGGAATATATATATATTTTTATTCTTTTTTTCCAATGGTAAGAGTTAAGCTTGCATCATACAAGGGATTTTAAGATAATCAAAATTTACTCCACGAGAGCACGTTATGATGTGAGGAGCACCTAGCGTGTCCATCGTGATGGCGTCGGTGAAGGAGTTCGCCGTCGAGTACGAGATGTCGGAAAGAATCATAAGCAGAACGAATGACCAGAAGGTTCCTCGATGAATAGGATTGCCGCCGCACTCTGTCGTGGCCCATTGCCCTCCCACGCACGTCAGGCTGCACCAAATTCCAGGTAAAAGTAGCAGAATCGAAAATCTCATAAATACTTCAGACTAATTGCCTGAAATGCAGTATATCTGAAGGTTAATTAATTTAACTACTCGTACTTTCTTACACTGTATCCAAATAACCAGTGCAAATAATATCAAAAGCGTCTTTTTTCTGTTATTGTGCTTTTCATACCGAGAGGCATTGCAAAGCTTGAATCGTTTTGGTATTCCTGAGATCGTCCAACTGGCGACAAATTAAGCGAAATAGGCGCTGAGTGTGAACATGAGCTCGTAAGTTGCCACGTGTTTTTTTTCACGTGCAAGTTTTGCGAAGCTCTGATGAATCAAAGTAAAATAATCTCTAAGCAATATGATGAATTATATGAGAACCAATGTTTTCTTTGGGGAATATATATATATTTTTATTCTTTTTTTCCAATGGTAAGAGTTAAGCTTGCATCATACAAGGGATTTTAAGATAATCAAAATTTACTCCACGAGAGCACGTTATGATGTGAGGAGCACCTAGCGTGTCCATCGTGATGGCGTCGGTGAAGGAGTTCGCCGTCGAGTACGAGATGTCGGAAAGAATCATAAGCAGAACGAAGGACCAGAAGGCTCCTCGATGAATAGGATTACCGCCGCACTCTGTCGTGGCCCACTGCCCTCCCACGCACGTCAGGCTGCACCAAATTCCAGGCAAAAGTAACAGAATCGCAAATCTCATAAATAGTTTAGAATAATTGCCTAAAATACTGTGTGTCTGAAGGTTAATTAATTTACTAACTCGTATTTTCTTACGCTGTAATCAAATAACCAGTGCAAATAATATCAAAAGCGTCTTTTTCACTGCAAAAAAATCTGTGTAAAACCATTTTGTGTTTATTTCAGTGTGATTGATGTAATTGCGCTCCTGCAGGGAAAGTTGGTGCCGCGCATCCATAATTTTTTGTTCACTCTTTTGAAATATTTATATTTTATGTATATACTCATAATAGAAATTCAATTTCATTAAAAAGTCATTCTAAAGTACCTGCCAGCGTAGCCCGATGGCACACACTGGACGCTGGCATCGCCAGGGGCGGCGACGGCGTAGGTGGAGAAGTTGGAAGACGAGTTGACGAGAGTCAGTTGAAGCAGCGCCGACGTCCAAGTAAACTGGCAGTCGCGACCTGCCTCCAGCTCACAGGAACCTGCCGTCCAAAAGGCAACGACAATTGCAGTATTTGTATTCACTTAACCGGTTGACGTGGAGTTAGAGCACTCTATTTCACTACCGAAAATTTATAAATCTGAATTTTATTTGTGTGATGTATTGTTCTCTTTTCAGATAAATGTTCATGAATAAATATTTTCTGTCGTTTTAGTCAACTGCATTTTAGCAATTTCGAAGCAATTATTAGACCTTCTCAGCAAGACTGAAATTTTGTATTCATTAGGTTGGTTCTACTTGAGATCGACAGCGTTGAAGAATCACTCCTCTAACGAAATCATTTAACCCGAAATAATGTATTCCTTTGAACCCTTGGCATGAAAACGAGTGAGTAAGCAAGTGGAACTTACCGTTGTTGGGCAGGACGATGAAGAGATCTGGCCATGAGAATGAAGTTTGTTTTGATGAGCTGAGGTTTTCAGTGAATCTGTTCTCGCCACATTCATGATTTGAAAGACTCTCATTCACAGTAGAATTGGGGAAGAGATCAATCGAAAAGATTTTCAATTCTTGATACGAGGATCCAGGAGATTGTTCAGTTTCTTTCTTATCTATTTCAGAGCTGAATGAGTGAGAATTAAACATGTCTCGTGACACGATCCATGCGTCTGAATAATACGGCGCATCCGTGAACTGAGGGACGAAAGCCATGATGCTGAGGGAGAGGCCGAAGAGTAGCACGGTGCCCACGAAGAGGGGCCCGCGGGTTCTAGGGAAGGCGTCGGCGAACGTAGAGATGAAGGGCTTCACCACCATCGTCAGCATCAGGACCAGAGCACCGACCGTCCCCATCAGGGATACGGAGGAGCCCAACTGGAGACTTATCACCAGCCCGAAGGGTAGAATGGGTGCCATGCCTGAGGAAATATGACATACGCGTAATTGAATTGAGACTCTTCGGTTTGTAGCGTACTGCAATACTGCATACGAAACAAGGCTACAAATATGTAGCGAATATATTCTAATGCTTTCTAGAATATGTGCGAGTATTTATTTCATTCTAACACTAAAGAGAATAGGCAATGTATCCCTTTGTTAATCAATCAGTGACATTTTTACGATTGTTTTTTTTTTATCGAACACTATCTTGTTATAGCGTCCAATTAACTACTCAATAACCTGTTAAAAAAAACTATAGTTATAATATTCAATCATATTTTCTTTCCTAAGATAATTCCAGTTGGAAAACTGTCATTTGGGTTTGAGGTGTTTATCATTTTATTTAGTCTGCTACAGTTCCCAACATTGTTTGTAATTGTATTCACAACCTTCCACATTTCTTCAAATCCACATGTGAAGATTGAAGGTAACTCCAACCTCTAGTACTAATCAGCAACAGCCCACGAGTCAGATTCCGTACAACTGCCAACAACATCACGTCTAAACCCTCTTGTCCGCTTCATCGTCGTTATGGAGTGAGACTTTTAGCATGCGTCTCGTCTTGGGTGGCGACCTTGAGGTGTTGGGACGATCTGCAGAACTTCGTTCGTTCGTTCGTTCGTTCTTCAGAACTTCCAGATCAGCTCGTCTTCTTACGGAAGACGGGTCTCTGCGAGAGCTGAAGAGGGGACCGGATGCTGCAGGTTGGTTGCCTCTCACTAAAGCTCAGAGTATTGTGGCAATTTGTATCTCCGGCCGGTTTCCATTATCTTCCTTTCACTATATACTCTCAACCCAAATGATAAAACCCTCTTGTCTTCCAACTGAATCTCTGTATTCCTTAGATAGCCAATTAATTATATAAATCTCTTATTTTAAAATGACCGTACAATTGTAAGAGCATAGCTGCTAGGTCCGGTAAATTCAGGCATTTGACAATATTTTGGACAGGATTTGACAGGATGGGCGGCACGAAACTTAGCATGTGAGTTTCACTGCTGCTACCTGGCTGGCTTGCACTGGCCAGGTGAAGCTCCTGCTCCCGAATCAAAGGACTTCCTCTTGGGGCAGCAGCTCTGGCCAATTCCTTTTTTTAAATATTTTTGTGTTCATATAACTAACACAATTCAGATTAAATAAATTCAGTAGAATTGATTGGTTTTCCTTATATTATTTCTTAGGTTAAATTCAATCTTTCATTCCGCTGCAATGGGAGGTCACGCTAGTGTTTTGTATAGTTATTTTATTTTGTTTTCACGGGAACTTCAACAGCACTATAACTTGTTGGGAAATTTTTCCCAGCCTGACATCTTGGAGCACTACGCTTAAGAAGGAAGACGTGTTTTTCTTTTTAATTAGAGCTGTAGCTTCGAGCGATTGCCATATGGTCAGACTATGTGTGCTGGTTCTAATATCTCTCATCGCCAATTTCATTGTTTTGTTTACCTGAGTAACTTTTAGTGGTCTTTATTTCGTTGGGCACAACATTTGAGTAGAAAAATCATATTACGGGGTGCCTGTTTGATGATTATATTTGAACACTGTGGCACGCACGAGCAATTAAATATAAATTAAATCAGTGGTTCCCAAACATTTTCAGGCTGGCGCCCCCCTTTGGCTTCCCAGTGAATTTCTAGCGCCCTCCACAGACACATATAAAAACATACGCCTCTTTCTTGAAATTTAGTACGCTGCAATTTTACAAGATAAAGGTTAAACACAAATGTGTAATTCACATATAGAATCCCATTTAGTGAACCAATATGTTTTTCAGCTGTTTTAACGGTTACAGCACTAGAAACCTAGGACGTCTCGGGCAAATTTACGGCCGGACTCGTGGCCGGTCACACGACCAATCTCCAAATTAAATTGTCGTTTAATTTAGCTCGTAAAAATTTTTAAATTTCACCTTCATTCGTGAGTAATGTTGCGATAAAGGCTGAAATTCGCAGTGATCAAAGAATTTCTTCCAAACTACTGAACAGATTAGAACGAAATTTTGAATATACATTTCTAACTACCAAACGGTGATTTTTTTAGCTTGTAAAAAATTTTGATTTTACCTTTGTTTGCGAGTTTTTTTACTTCACCGCCATTCATGATTTCACACTTACTTATATTAGGCCTGTATCGCCTGATAATTTGTCGCTTAAATTCGCGACGATCAACAAATTTCTTCTAAACTACTGAACAGATTGCAACGAAACTCTGTATAAAAATATTTAACCTCTCAACGGTGATGTTTAGCTCGTGACAATTTTTTATACTTCGCTTTCATGCGCGAGTTATACGGATATAGGATCCCGAAGGATTACTAGAATTTGAAACAAGAACCAACACCAGGGGCCATGACTATGAACTATAAAAACTGAGCTACAACTTCTCCACGCGCCAACATTTCTTCTCGCTTCGAATCACCGACATGTGGAACAGCCTCCCCGATGACATCATTGGCGCTCCAAGTATGAACGCGTTCAAGAACAGACTAGATATAAAGCTATGGAAAAATATATGTTCAGATTTAAAATGCCTAGCACCATATCGAACTCTGTGGAAGTCTAGTAGCTACTTCAAACTATCGTCAGTCATGAAAAGATCCGGTCAAATGACACGATTTCAGATCTTCTGTGAACAAGTCACGAAAAGGAAAATGATCGGCGACAGGCCACATGGCCTACACTTCAGCGCCGAGATCACTATGTTATGTTATGTTAAGAAAGAAATTTCTTGATTGCTGCGAATTTAAGCACGTGTTGCTGTTTAAATCACGAATGAAGGCGAAATGAAAAAAAAAAAAACTCGCGAACAAAGGCACATTCGAATAAATTTTCACGGGCTAAACATTACCGTTCGGTAGTTAAGACTGTAAATTCAGAATTTCGTTCGAATCTGTTAAATAGTTGGAAGAATTTCCTTGATCACTGTGATTTTCGGCCCGTATTGCCAGATAACTATGTCAAAAACATATGAAGGCAAAATTGAATAAAAAATTCACGAGCTAAACTTTACCAATAGGTTCTATTGCATACGATTACCAAGTTTCATCGAGTTAAGTTCATTAGTTTACCCCCAAACGTTTACCCTCCTTACCGCCCCCCAAAATCTTTCCACCGCCCCTAGGGGGCGATATCTCCCACTTTGTGAATCACTGAATTAAATTGTTATTTACTGCTTCCTTTTTGGCCGGGCAAATATTATTTTATAATATTTATACTTGAACATTAGCCGATGGCATTTCCTTTTCCCTTTCGTGAACGCTATCCAGCGACTTTAATTGGCATGACCACGACTGATTCTTGCTATAAACTTGCTCTCTTAACTTTTGTCCATCCATAACGCTATCTGCCGTAGTGTTGAATTAATCTTTTCGATATTGTACTTGACCGTTCAAATTCCTCGAACTTTATCTTTGTTCAACCTAATGACACGTCTAACAGCATTATATGAGCTTTTAGCCAAATTGGCGGTCAGCTGGCTTTATTTCTGTTCCAACCTACGAATAGTTCGCAGCTGGAGCGTCATTGATAAATAAAATTTTGATAATTATTATTAATCTACGAGGCAGTTATCGTGGCGTCTGATTCTAACACACTTTGAGGGCACGTTGCACACAAGTTTTATAGCAAGTGAAAAATAAATGAACACGAGAAAGGATGAGAACGGATTAAAATAACTAATCATTAAATGCATATGCTCTACGAAATAGTTCCGTCTTTAGACGTCGATGAAACGCTTGCAACGAAGAAGCCGGTAGACTGTTCCAGGTTCTGGCTACGATACGGCGACCGGGAACGCTCTGTCGCCGACGCTAGATAGACGTGTAGATGGAAAGGCGAGGTCTGCTATTGATGACGAACGCAGTCGTCTTCTAGAAGGCAGATCCGACACGCGCTGCAGATATTCCATGAGATAAGGAGACGCCAGACCGTGGAGGCCTCGGAACGTCAGAACAGGGACCATGAATTGCGCGCGCTGCTGCATGCCCAACCACTGAAGGTCGCGCAATATCGGTGTCACCTGTTCGAATTTTCGCTTATTGCAAAAGAGTCGCTTACGGATTTCTGTTTATTAAGTGCCTTGGTTTGGAGTCCGTAGAGTGTGGCATTACCATAGTCCAATCTGATCAGAAAGAGCGCCATTGCAAGGGCTTTGACGACCGGCCTCAAGAAACATGCTGACGCCACGTATTCGTCGCAGAGGGCCAAACAAGCGGTGGTGACTTAGGCTATGTGATTGTTCATAGAAAGTTGAAAGTCCAGCATAATGCCGTGGTTGTGAACCGGAGACGCAGGCATGACGAACTCGTCAAAGCGAATGGGGTTGGCCGGAAGCTGATTCTGGCGCCAAGCAGTCGCAAACCATATAAAGTCGGTTTTTGAAGCATTGAATTGGAGCCGGTTAGAGCGCATCAAGTCTGACACGGCGTCCATGCAGACATACATCCTGTCCTACAACGTTGCAGCACCATCTTGTGCACATTAGCGTTAAATTTGTGTGCACAGACTGATGCTGCAGCGTTGCGGGGCCGGATCTCTGTCTGCATGGATGTCGTTTCAGCGGATTCAAACTATGTGGATAAGTTATGTGCAATACGTCGACAGTATATAACAGGAAGAGGATCGGGCCGAGAAGTGATTCCTGTGATATGCCGCAAGTTACCAACGATGGCGTAGAAGAAGAGTTCCCGCTTCGAACACATTGGACTGATGATTCTAATAGGAGCTCTTCTAATGCTTAGGAAATTTCCCTAGAAACTTCTACCTCATGTCTATATTTTAGCGAAGTTACATTCCTCATGGTACTGCTGATGTGACAGAGCAGCATAAACATCAATCCTGGGAGGTCGGCAGGATATTGAATTCGTTAGCCTTTCAATCGCGAGAGCCTGCTCAGCATTTCTCGTTATATATTGCCAGATAAGAGCAGAGACTATGAATTACTTATGCCACACGTTTAACTCGTTTAATGCACATCACCTCGGCAAAAGTATAATCGATTTGAAAGATAGAGAATATATTTTAAATTGTACGTTTTCCTGCAGAGACGCTTTAACAAATTAAACTTATATTACCATTAAATATTTTTTTCAAGAAAGAAGATTCTTGCCATAACAAAGGTGATTAGGGTTAACCCCGTTCGCCGCAGTACTCGAAAAGAGTTGGCCAAAACGTCCTCCTTAAAAAAAATAAACTTCAACAAAAGTATACAAGATCTGGAGAGATATTTTTCAACAGATGTTTGTTCATGGTCTGGAGTCGATAAAATTTAGCCGAGTCTGTTTTTCTTAAAGACATTCGTTAGTTCAAGAAAGTTCTGCTAGTATGAACATTTCTGTTACGATATGAAGCAAGGGCAGTTGCGCGGCCTATTAAGTGGACCATAAGTTAACTCTGCCGCTGTTAAGTGGATACTGCTTTGCCCAACAGTGCACTGCCCAAGTAATATGCACAACAGTCTCATTGTTCTATTTGTTCAGGAAGTTTTCACTCATAAAATGTGATTAAGAAGGCAGATTTTATTGGGCAATAATCCGTTTGAATTCAGAAGCTGTGTAAATATAAATTTTTAATGCAAGATGAAAGGCCTCTCAAAAAATTATTATTGATGAATTCACGGAATATTTGCACCCAAAATTGTAGTGCTGCTTGAACCCGAGGCTATTCGAGTCAACAAGCACGGCTGTGGGACCTACGCACATTTTTGCGGGTTTTTGCATTCTATTTTTTGATGATACATGTTTGCTCAACAAGCGCAAAAACTTCAGAAGTTCGCTGGCAGGTACGTATCAATTGAGATGTGATTGTTATTAAAATGACAGTTTTATTAACAAAAACTGCGGAAAAACATAATATAATTACGCTATTTTGAACGAACGAATGAGTTACTCATCAGCGATATTCAAGTACTCGTTTTCTTACCTCCGAAAAACAGGAAGTAGTGAAGCTTTATCAGGAACGTTCGTTTATTGATCTTCATGATGGCAAATTAGTCAAAATTAAATATTTACGGTCGAAAAATACGTGCTGTTATATATCACTTCTGTCTAAAATTTCCTTCCTCCTATCAAACGATCAATGCTGCGCGGGTTGGCGTGCATTTATAATTTAATTTGTGTGCCCTGATTATTCCATGATTTCCAAAAAATTTTCAGTTTTATTGAATGCAGTAGAGTTGAACAAATTCATCATGTATACTTCCAGCAATAAAAACAACACCGGCAATTTTATTCAGTATAAACGAGCAATATCACCATCCACCAGACGATATTTTAATCTTCTCTTTTAATGCATATCGTTTTTTATTTCGTGTACCACAAGTCACTGGTCACTTCAATTATAATCTATTTGATAATCCCCTTTGATTGCCGTACAAACAAATGATCATTGGCAAGGAAACCACCGTGATTACGAGTTCTCACATGTTCTTACTGGCCTCTGCCCAGACTCGTTGCCAACTGCCGTGAATATGAACCGTGGGCAGCATAGCGGAGAGTTGGGTGGAGGATGGCATCATATATCGGACTGTTCGCTGTCAAGGTTGATCATCTAAAAGCCTGCAATGTTGCTTGCTTCACGAAGTTGGCACTTGAAATGATTCATTGTGCTACATGCGTTGTGCTACTCGGCTTATTGAACCATCTAAGGGTGCTTGACTAATTAGTCATAATAATTCCTGTCATGATGACTGCTGGCAGCGCAGGCACCACATGCGACTGGCTGGCTGAGTTGTAGAAGGAGAAGAAGGAGCTACGAGGGCATCCCATCGTGTCTGCAGTAGCAGCAGCTCGAGGGGAGGACGAGGAGACAGCGGTTGTGCCCCTCGCACGACGTCAGTGGCAGTCGTGACCAGCAGCGTTCTGCACCTCCAGTGGCGGGAGCTTCTCTCACTCACGGTAACGTCTTGTGTGGTCGCGCTTACAATCATTTATTGTCTCCTGATTGCCGTGGTGATCGTAATATCTGTGATGGTAGTTAGTTATAACATGACCGTAAGTTCAGGGATGATAGTAAGTTCTTCAATGATCGAAAGTACTAGTACTGTGTCATTTATAAGTTGTTTGTCGATCAAATGTTTGATGATAATTGTAAGTTTTAAGATTGTCGTCAGCCTAATTACTTATATCGTGTTTCCAACCTCTACAATTATAAATGTCAGTATAGGTTGGCAAAATTTATTCCTTTTAGCAGGTTTCATTGAAGACCAGAGAATTTGTCTTATTGACAATTTTCATATTAGTTTTTCCATATCGATCAATATTTTTCGTTTGCACTGGTAAGTCGACAATCAGGTTACCGATGGACATTTTTAATTCGTTATCAACGTTTCGAATGTAGATGAAAGACAACATATTTAATTAAAAATGTACCCACATGTCCACGACTGAGCAACTCGGATCGTGATAATTAATAATTATATAGAAACTATTGCAACGAATTTCTGAGTTAGGACATTTTCGGTTGTTTATGACATGTAATGATTTCGAAGACTGAATTTTGTCAATTTAATAGCCGATGATGATATGGTAAATATCTGATTATACATTGGCCTAACAATTTTAAAAATCAGTTGATGTTTTTTACTAGCTACCATTGGTCGGTTGATCGTTTCAACAGTCGATGTCGCCACCGATGCCTTGGCAACGCTAGAGATCTGGCTGAGCCGTCCTGTATTCACAAATAAGTCTGTGCATTCAATTACGTTTGCTTGTTCAGTTATTCAGTCTAGGAATTTCTGATAAAATATACCGAATAACACGACAATTTACTTGCATAGATTAAAAAATAATGCGAAGAATAACCGTGGTGAGTTAAAATTGAAAGAAAAAAGTCTGACAGTTTTAGTCTGAACTATAAATCATAAAAAATAAAGGACTTCCATTGATTCTGAAGCTCGGGCTCCAATGATTCTGAAGCTTCACACTACAGGAACGTTGCTGATACAGCTTGAATGCGTCGCACACGAAATCACTTTCTTCATATCAAATGATAACTTCTTATGTTGTTTGTCGTATGTTCTATGATGGAAGTTTGCCCCAGAGATAAATTAATCGTGCAAGGCTAATAAATTTCGAGTTTGTCAACTCTGACTAACACTATCTCTTGAGTTCTCAGTACCACTGAGAAGCATGACGACACTCTTCAAAAAGTTCACAGATTATAAAGGCTGCCTGTCTTGGGAACGGCGTATATGCACTGTCTTGGGAATGGCGCACACTAAACAAAACGCTTATGAATTTTTGAGAGCGGTACTTGAGAGCCATGCGGCACTGTTGTATGTTATTCTTGGCTACTGAACAATGAACATCTCTTTACCGCTGCTCCATACACTCACAGGATATTGAGCTGAGTTATCAGGAAACGGGAACGAGAATCAAGAAATAGAGTTACATAAATTATATTGATCACGTGAATCGGTTGAACCCTAAAAACTCAGGCTCAATTTTCGGAGCTCTATCTTCTGTACGAGGATTTTACAAATTCAGTACTGAACAATGCAATTTAGTTATGGGAGCATATTTGGTGGATCCTTTAACGGTAATTTATGGTAATTCCAATGCATGAGTGAAATTATTGTTCATTGTTGAGACATTTCATTGGATGAAATATTACGCGTTTTCTTTACACGACGACATGTAAAGAACTCACTAGCCGATATTTTAGCAAAAATGAAAAGATTTTAACTCTCCTGAATTAGAAGTTAAGGACCGGAATCTTCATTGACTTTACGTTTCTGATTAGCTAGGTACGATAGGAGGTGCTAAAGCAGACACACAAAGTAGCCCACATACATTCGTCTCGTTAGTAGCAGTAGCACGATCGATCTAATAGCAAAGACAAAACGGTGTTACAGCAAAAGTAGTTAACAATGCATTTATTATCCAATGCTATAGTAATGCTAAAGCATTTGGCGCCGCCGATACAATAGATCTGCTAATACAGTCAGTGCTGCCGCAACAATAAACCTTGCCGATGTAGTCGTGGTCAGCATTTGTTAAGGAATGTCTCATTTCTCTATTGTTGACGCTCAGTCTGCCAAATAGACGCTTCCTGCGCCATTGATGTTGCCAAGGCTTGCAGAGACATAGGAAAATAACAGAACGCTCGATTTTCATTCAATGCACTGCAGAAAGATCAGAGTGAAAGGAATCTAATTCTAGTAAATTAATAATTTCGCATTTGGGCTTTACTTTTGTCAACAATTTTATAGGTGCGAATTTATAAGTAGTGTAACAACAAGATGTTAGAAGTAGTGTAGGTACAAGATGTTAGGAGTAGTGTAACTACAAGACGTTAGAAGTAATGTAAGTACAAGACGTTAGAAGTAGTGTAGGTACAAGATGTTAGGAGTAGTGTAACTACAAGACGTTAGAAGTAATGAAACTACAAGACGTTATAAGTAGTGTAAGTACAAGATGTTAGGAGTAATGTAACAACAAGAAGTTAGGACTAGTGTAACTACAAGAAGTTAGAAGTAATGTAACGACAAAACGTTAGAAGTAATGTAACTAAAATAATTAAAATTTTTACTAGCAGGCGAAATGAGATACTGTAGCTCCCGACATAACAATGCCCACATTTAGAGTAGACATTATCAATAAAGATATTTCTAGGACGATTTTATTCTAATCCACTCAAATAGAGCAGGAAAACGAATAAAGCACGTCGGTCACGATAAGCTCTGACTTATTTGTTCAAAAGTGTTTTCTGGTTATTAATGTACGTAGATTTAGGCAAATAGGCATTAAAAAACGTATCAAGGTCGAAATACCTCTGTAAAATCAAGTAAATTTATTCAATGGCAGTCGATTTTTTTGCCAACGTTAATATATTATTGCTCTCATCTAATTGTTCCGCGGGCGAGACCCTAACTTAAAATTATATTCAATTCTAAACTGTACATCAATTTTTGTTGTTCTTCCTATATTTTCCTGCCTACATAAATACACATGGGGAAAATTTTGCTCGGTTGAGCTTGTTAAAGAGGAATACTGATATTAATAGTTGCCTTGAAGGGCTGATGGAGGCGCGCGTCCTGATAGATGGATACTAGTATTTTCTTCACCTGAGTAGATTCACTTGCTGAACATAACATTACATATATCGTTTCTCAACGTATCTAGAACAGAAAATCCCTGAAATGTTAGAATGCATTTCTCACTAATCACATCACCTATTATAATGTTACGCTCTGTACCGTCTATAACTGAAAGACTTAAGCAATTTCAGTTAAGTGGAAAATAGAGATTAATCATGGGACTCTCGTTTAGTGTACTATCCTTTCGAAATGTAAAGGAAACATGTTTTTCTTGCATAAAGTGTTCACAAAAAAATGAAATTCATATTGAAAATGTTAATTTATCTCCCAACGCCTATTTTGCGAAGTCTTGTGATTGTATCCCCAGGAATGAAGCTCTATAGGCCCATGTTAATATCCCGACAAGACAGTGTTTGTGCACACCAGCTCTAATAATACCTTGTTACATGAAATTTACGGTGACAGGTGATATATACGAAAAAAAAACGTGTACAAATACATGATAGACTTAGCGTAGGCTCATCACGAAATAGCGTAGGCTCATCACAATTATGGTTTGAGGAATAATAATGGAAAATGACTCTGCAGTAACCAGCGCAGGCCGGAAATCGGTCATCGATCAGTTCTGCGAAGAGAATTTCTGAAATCGCATATTCATTCAGCGAGTAAAAAACTACGTATTTTATGGCTATCAGCATTCATAAACAAATTAATGCACCAAATTAGTTGCCTGATCATGAAAAATATTGCCGTGTATGTATGCGACAATAGATTAAGGAATAACTCCGTATTTGACAGGACAAGCAACATGGATGCGGCACGCAGCGGCATACTGGGGTTTGTAGCGCTTCTGCTACTCTTCTCTAGGTGAGATGGTTGAAGCAATTATGAAAATGATGACGTGGTTTATTATCATTATCATGCTCACTGTGAATAAATAATAACAAAGGTATAACCTTAATACGTTAATTAGCCATTTGATTTGCAAATAAAATGGGCACTAAATTCATAACACATTCTTATTTGCTGACAAATATTATGCAGGAAATTGACCTTCTCTCTGATCTTTCTTGAAATCCGAAAAGAATTATACTCGTATTTTTCATCGAATTATTGCTACCACTCACTAAAAAATAAGTGACGACTGATTCAGGTTTCAATGGTTGTAAATTCAACTTTTCATCGTACATGGCATCAGCTCTTAAATTATTTGTAACTTTATTTTGATCATAATTCTGAGTGGTTCGTGAGTCCTAAAAATGCCCCGTTCACAAGCACCACAATGCATGCATGGCCACCCCGTATACTATTGGCATGGCAGATCACTAACAGTTTCAGTACGCACTATACATGCTTGTTCGTATGAAGCACTTGATGTTTAGTAATTAATTAATTCGTTGAGATGCAAACCATTTAACATCGAGAGAAAAATTATCGTTTCACGTTGAAAACCCCTCAAATAATATACGTTATAATATTCAATTCACATTTTAATTTGAAACGGCAGGCTGTGAGTAGTAGGTAGGATTGTGATTATTAGTAGTATAGACGCATATATCTATGAATTATCATCAGAAACAGTATAAATCTTTTACTTTCAATTGTTTCCGCTTTATAGTCAGCTTGATTTTGTAATTACACGATATCATGTTAAGCGGTCGGTTTTCAGTTTAATATAAAATTTGAGATGAATTTTAACGTTACCGCAGCGGAGCGGAGTGCCACACCGCGAAGATCAACGCAGCAACACGCGAGGTTCTCTCCATTCTCCGCGACCCTGCCAACTACGACAAGGGTGTCATGGCCGCCAATGAGAGCGGTGGGTTCATGATAGCTTCCGATCATCGTTGAATTAATGTATTAATTCAACCATGCATGGCTTACGATATTGTCCTTTCAGCCCTCAACCACACGCTAGTCCTTGTTCCTAAAATATATTCATAATTAATTTTGGTGTCTGAAATCTATGCTTTACATTATCCGTGACAAAACCTCTCACATAAATGCTTGCTTAATGATTAAGTCGTTTCATAGTTTTTGCATCAATTTGAACAAGTTTTAATGACGACAGCGTGTACTATAGGTTCGTATTTAGAGATGGTATACCTTTCTTCTCCATAATCTTCAATAGTTTTATCTGCAGCCATAACAGGCAGGCAAAGTTCCGAATTAAATATACTTACGTTGTTATGGTACACTGATATCGAATTGGTGAAGTAATGAGAAAAATACTTAGAAATAAGCTGTTAAATCAGTTTTGATTTGTACTAAGTAGACTCGTAGAGTAACTCTTGAATTGCTCATTCATTCAGCGCAGTGTAATCAATCAGTTTTTGTCGATTTAAGTTCATAAAGAAAGTCCTGCATCAAATTAATGCAGGTGCAACTGTGTAATCGTGAACAATATTGCCTCTGATACGCTACTGATATTCCTATAATCTGTGAAGAAACTAAAGATGTTTTAGGTTATTAATAGTGGATATTAAAATTAATGTAATAGAATAGCTAACTTATTGAATACGGAGTAAATATTAATTTTCCAATGAGCTACATAGTAAAGGTTTGGTATAATTGTATTATATTTTTTCAGGTCCACTTGACACGGAGCTGCAGCTGTTCTTCAGGGACGTCGACATTGACGATGTGGATATGGTGAGTGAGCGGATGTATTCCGCTACAGAAGAAGTTTCGATCTATTCTACTCAATACAATACTTCTATAACTATTATTTTCTAATTAAACTGAATGATAAATTAGTTTGAATGCCCATAGTGGGATCGACTTTACTTTTTGACCTTGGAACACATTTGTATGTTGTATTTTCTTGCAGCAAATGACGGTGGACTTGACGTTCCGGATGATCTGGAGGGACTCTCGTCTTGTATATAAGACGCCAGGCGAGTGATGATGTGATGCTTTTATGATTATTTTTAGTATGGAATAGAATTAATTGTTGTTCCCAAGGATAACTAATAATCTTTTTAATCACTTTATTGGAATACTAATTGGCCAAAACAGCAGCGAATTTCATAGAATGACAAAATTATTTAATATATTATCATACAATAAACGTTGTACGCTAACGATTTTGAGTCACACCTCTTCTTCTGAATAACATTGGTGTTTGTAGTTTTGACGGAATTCCGATGATCCTAAATATTTTGCAATGACTATTAAAGTTAAGTTTTTGATCAGATGTTGGATGATATTTTGCTAGTGAACTGAATTGTGATATATTTAATTTATAATATAGCAAAGTTTAATGACAAGTTATGACCTCGTCGCAGGCGTGCCCTACGTGACGCTCACTGAGTCTGAGCTCGCGTGGTTCCCCGACCCCTTCTTCAAGAACGCGATCAGCACCCAGCAGCAGCAGACGATGATACCGCAGAGCTACCTCAGGGTCTACAGGTAGTATGGTAGGCTCAGGGTCTACAAGTAGTATGGTTCTCAGGGTCTACAGGTAGTATGGTAGCCTCCGGGTCTACAGGTAGTATGGCAGCCTCAGGGTCTACAGGTGGTATAGTAGGCTCAGGGTCTACAGGTAGTATGGTAGCCTCAGGGTCTACAAGTAGTATGGTAATCTCAGGGTCTACAGGTAGTATGGTAATCTCATGGCCTGCAGGTCGGTTTAGTTATTTATGGGCTCAAGAAACGAACTATTCCGTCACGTGGCTTGCACCAAGTCATGGCACCGCACCACCACAATGTATCAGTGCCAGCACAGGGTCCACCACAATTAAAGTCCTGCCACCTCCTAGCTTAAGTGATCGAGGTTCTACTCTTACTGTGGATTCACTTCCAATGTTTGTTGTTTGGAATGAATTGTAATTTTGTTGGAATGTTTGAAATTGGAATGTCAAAAATGATCCAACGCTCAATGAGCTCACGAAGCGTGAATATTTATGTAACAACGCATTGAAATTTAGTTTGAAATGATTTGTAGTCACCATTTGGTAATTAATCACACCTTATAGTTATTCGCTCATTATTTTTCAGGTGGTTAATTACTTTGTTTTGTTTATGAAGAGACGGTAGCTTTGCGGTCAGCACGCTCGTCTTATAGTTCAATAGTGAGAAATAATTCTGCTTCTTTCTTCCCCTGCAGCGACGGGCGTCTCGTGTACAGCACGCGTATGATCGTGCTGCTCTCCTGTGACATGGACTTCTCACGCTTTCCTCACGACGTGCAGCATTGCAGCATCCCCATCGCCAGCTGTGAGCATTAGCATCCAATATGAGAACACATACCAAAATGAAAAGTAATGTTGCATTAATTCGAAAGACTGAGGGTCCTCAATTCTTCCAATTTTACATTTCGGTTAAACACAAAAAAAAAAATGATCCCCAAGTTTCGAAGATGAAATAAAAAGTTTTTCATGTTTTACGACTCAGGAGAAGTTCTCTCAAGTCTATAAGAACGTAAACAAACTATATCTTCTATATAATATCCTTTTTATAGAATTCAGTGCAAGGTAGGTTTTGTGAGGGCAGAGGTTGAAATTATTATAAAAAATATATTCAAAAGTCCCCTCGATTATTTTCAGACGGGTACACGATCGAGGACCTTATCTTCCATTTCAAGGACACATCGGTGACGATGACCAACGGCAGTATTCAATCCAGGAACTTCTACATCGACCGCTTCGTCACCGACTCCTGCAACTCTAAGACCAGCACTGGTACTTTATCAGTTTATCTCCTTGTATTGTGCCTGGTACAAAGCAGAGCCATTGATGAAGTTTATTTGCTGCGTGTCCCGCCCATCAATGTTTGCTGTTGACGAGCAGAGAATATACCCATGTTTATTGCAGATGCTGCATTTTCTTTATTCTTATCGCTGCATTTTGTTTGCAGACGAGTACTACCTGCTAAGTTTTTGGCAGTAGTGTATAGCTCACTGTTTGTTTCCAAAGAGTATACAGCCTTCTAGGTTTGATGCCGGATTACATGTACAGCTTCCTGTATGCTTGTTGCCGGTGTGCACATCAATTGTTACAGACGTGTACAGGCGACTACCTTTATTACAGGCATGTACAGCACTACGCTTGTTACAGACGTGTACAGGCGACTACCTTTATTACAGGCGTGTACAGCATTACGCTTGTTACAGACGTGTACAGGCGACTACCTTTATTACAGGCGTGTACAGCCTTACGCATGTTACAGACGTGTACAGACGACTACCTTCATTACAGGCGTGTACAGCACTACGCTTGTTACAGACGTGTACAGGCGACTACCTTCATTACAGGCGTGTACAGCCTTACGCATGTTACAGACGTGTACAGACGACTACCTTTATTACAGGCGTGCACAGCACTACGCTTGTTACAGACGTGTACAGGCGACTACCTTTGTTACAGGCATGTACAGCACTACGCTTGTTACAGACGTGTACAGGCGACTACCTTTATTACAGGCGTGCACAGCACTACGCTTGTTACAGACGTGTACGCAGGCAACTACCTTTATTACAGGCGTGTACAGCTGCGTGAAGGTAGAGCTGCGCATCAACAGGCAGGTGACGAGCTACATCCTGGAGTGGTACATACCATGCGTGTTCCTGGTTGTCGTGGCCGGCATGAGTGAGCTGGTGGTGGCCGCTGAGTTCCTCACGAGAGTCTTGCTTACCCTCGTGCCACTCATCACCCTCGCAATGTACGCGAGTGTCTATGCTCTCCTCACTACCCCCTCCGTGCCCTTCTTCAGGCCACTCGACATCTTCTCAGGTCAGTTACGTATTATCCTCAGGATTAATCAACTCTCTATGGATATTCATGATATAAAATGGCTGTTAATATAACATATTTTAACGATTCGTACGTATAATTTATCTTGTCTGAGTTTTCAGCATCAATAATTCTGACTTATTGTTGAATATTTATATTAATTTTGGAACTGACTAGGTCCATTTTTCTCCTATTCAGAAGGAAGACATAAAATTTTTGAAATGTATAAACATAGCTTGCTTTATGTTGCTAAATAAAGTTATTGCGATGGTAAACTTCACCCATTTAAACGTATTAATTTATGGTAAACAAACTCTGAAGTTCCCATATTTGCCATGCTCTATCCTCATAAATTGAAAACAGTGAAAATATTTTGTATAGTTCGTGATCCCACATTATATGCGAGCAGGTTTTTCTCTGCTGGTGATTTTCCTTCAGTTGCTGAGGGTCGTCATTCTTCACTACTACGCCCAGAGGAAGCTCAAGGTTAGCCCGGCATGATTCTTTTTATATTTAATGTAATAGAAGTAAAGTATTAGAGATGCAATGAAAAATTATCTGACAGTAGGGCGCTAGTTTGTTGCTTAATCTATGATTTAATTCAGTCCGAATTTATTCAAATATATGTTTGTTTATTTGATATTAATTTTCTGATCGGTAGAAGTTTTGCATATCTTTGAACCAACGACTTTAATTATCTAATTATCAATTCGACGTCGCGTTGTACTTATTCGATTGATGAATAAGAAATTGGTTTTTGCATGAATGCTAGTAAGCGTTTAAAATACCATGCTAGCAAGTGTGGTGAGTGCTGGATCATAATTGATAAGCATTGTTCTATTTATGTAGTTATATGTTAGTAACTTCCGTCCTAATTTACATGCTCGAATTAGTGTGAATTGATAAATACACAGTAAAGCTTTATATAGCCTCTTTATATACTTGCTAAATTACGATTTCCACTTGCTAAATGGAGACAATCGAAGAAAAATTTTGACTTTATTTGATGTGACGTGCAGGAGGAGCGGGGCGAGCTTCTGCCACGTCACCCACGCGACGACTTCCTCGAGACAATCATCGTCAACGCCGACAACATCGCCAAGTTCACGCTGCTCGCCTTCTACATCCTCTTTGTGTTCGTCTACATCGTCGCCTACTCCACCTGAGCCACGTCACTCAACCTGTTATAACTTCGTTCTACTTCTCCTCTCATACACTTCTAATTCCCATTAACATATTTTAATAATTTTGATCTTTCCTTGGAATTGATAATTACATTTGATCTTTCATTTTAATTGATTTGCTGCTTCCTTTCCTACTCCCGCGCGCGTTTATTTTACGTGCTTCAGCCTCATGATCTCCAATGAAATCCTCCCTTTTATCCCTTTATGATCAATTCCCCATAATGTTCTTATCAAGTTCATATATTTTATAGCAAGTAGCCTAATTGCGTGTTGCCTGAAAAATTCCCTTGTCGAATATTGTTCTCAGTTTGATCATACAGCATTGCGACCTGTGAACAGGTCATGATTCGAACGAATTTAATTTTCAGAATATTTTAACACGATACGATTTTAGTGCCATTACTTTGCCACTTCAGTATATGATACCGCATTCAACATTTTTTAGTAATGCGCAAGTGTTATTCTCATATTTGGAAGTAGATACAACTAAATTTATATAATTCAGTCGTCATATGATCCAGAAATGATCATTAGAGTTAAGAATGTTTTTCAAGTTTTAAAAAATATACTTCCAAATGTTAAAGTTTTAAAACCTTTTATTGAAAATTAAAGTGCAAAGCCCAAAACCTAATAGAAAGGGGAACAAAAAGTGCGTTAAAATGCACGCATATATAAACGTAATAGATTATACAGCTGATAATATCGGCTTAGACAAACTAATGATTAAATGTATCGGTTAGCGAGTCAGAAATATTATTTTTAAGAGTTGATAAAGACATATGTGCTCTATTTTTTTTATTTGCGGTTTCAAGCGCTCTTTCAATTAAGGAAAACAAAAATATTGATTGTATTAGGCTCCTAATTACGACTCCAATGTTAAGCGATCGAGTGCGGCGTGAGCAAGCAGATCTTGTGCGAAGATGTAACGTGATGCGGTACATGGGGGCATTTGTTAAGATAATATTTTTTTAGCCTGAATACATAAATTATCATCCGAATGATATGTATAATGTATCGATGATTATAATAGCGTTCTCATATTACAAGCGTAAACATGCGATCGTATGAGCTATATTATAATAGTGAAGTAGAACAACTCGATAATATTATTGCAGTCAAACATATGTAGCCTCTCAAAACCGAGTCTTATATAACTTATTTCAAAACTACTCGTAGTTCCATACAATCATTAGGATTCTCTTTTCTTTTCATTGAACTCAGCGAAACAAGTCCCCAAACTTTAGTCTGGAATATGAGTACTCGGAACCATTATACATATATGAAAAAATCTCTTAACAGGTATCTGAAATATAATTCTCTTATGAATCTTAATCTTGATTTATAATTTTCTTAAGAAGTTGCTAAATATTTATGTTGAAAATTTTAATATATTTCTAATTATATCCATCCCTGCAAGATACCATATTGAATATTAAAAACTTGTAATATACCCTTCGAGAATAAAAGACTTTACGATAGCAAACTAATTTGAATAGATGCATATTTACCATCCCATTATTTTTCCGTGGTTTATAAAAAAATTTCGTTTTCTCTCGATAAATTTTTCATAAATAACATGCTTCTGATTAATAAAGTCATCGGTTTTCATCACCGAAGAAATAACTCTTTACAGTATCTCGTTATGTATAAAATTAGAAAATATTGATTTGTTAATAAATTACAGGTCCAAATTACTTACTTATCCATTCTTCATTCACCAATGACCAGCGTCAATTATATATCAAAACTCAACATCATTCAGTCTTAAATTCAAGCTAAACTTGACCACGCGTATTTCATAACCGCTGAGCTCAGAAGAACCGCTGAGCGAGACGTATAACTGCCGAGCGAGACGTATAACCGCTGAGCTCAGAAGGATGCGACGTATAACCGCTAAGCTCAGAAGGATGCGACGTATAACCGCTGAGCTCAGAAGGATGAGACGTATAACAGCTGAGCTCAGAAGGACGCGACGTATAACCGCTGAGCTCAGAAGGACGCGACGTATAACAGCTGAGCTCAGAAGGATGAGACGTATAACCGCTGAGCTCAGAAGGATGCGACGTATAACCGCTGAGCTCAGAAGGATGAGACGTAGCCGCAGTAGCAGAGCAGGAACAGGCCGTACGTCGCGAGGATGACGTAGCCAAGATAGGCGCGCGTTCGCAGCATCCACAGGCCGGGGGTCCCGCCCACCGTGTGGTCCACGATCGCGGGCTTCTGCAGGACAAAATTATAACTATATTGTAATTAAAATCTAAAAATCTGAAATAACATTCTTGAATGGGGTAATTTGCGCGATTAAATTATGAATATATACGGGAGGGTAAATTTTAAATTTGTTGTAAGCTCACAAGACATTATTGGCTATTCTTGAACTTTTAGGCCTGACATTTTGTGCTAATGTTTATTTCTTCTTGTTATTCTAACTTTATATTATTTTCACTCTATTTACAAGGAAATGAGTGTACGATTGAAAATAATATCTCCTAGACAAAATTTATTATCATTGTGAGACCATAATTCAAGCAGTCGCTCGTTCAATCATCGCTTACCGCCACAGAGGAGTTGCACAGAAGCACCTTGAGCAGCTGGAAGAAAACAGCTGTCAGCGAGATGCCTGCAAGTAGAAAATCAACTGAACACATCTACATTGTGGCGGGGTAACTACGGCAGTGCTTGAAACGCTGCACCTGAGGTCGTAAACCGCCGAAAACAAGAATAATTATTTTTAAGGAGTTCCCAAACGGGGCTAAATATATAGTAGTTGTTAACTGATCTGGAGTGCAGGCTCAACTATGATGATCATTTCACGGTTACTACTACTGAATTTTGCGAATATTTCGTAAATAAATTAAGTTAAAAAGTAAACGTTGATAAATTTCCAGCTTTATGATCCTCATTTCTGGCTTAGAGAGTTAATAACTTGGGTTAATGTCGTGAATTCGGGTTGACATCGTCCCGGTACCAGATATGGTCACTCTTACGGGGAATTTGTTTTGCGTCAACCTCGGATGTCGAGGGCCCACGGGCAGAGGATTGATATTTACGTAGCTTACCCCTCCCGCTACAAATGATCAAAGGAACAATTCCGTTATCTTGCAACTAGAGCCAGGGCTTCATAAGGAAGTTGCCAATATTATTTCTAGAAAAGGTATTACTCTATGTCGCTGCAGCCGCGCAGAGTTTTTCTTTTATATGCTTTATATGATTATAGCTATAGAATTAGAACGTCCACTTCTAAACGGGCATTCATTTCCTAATAGTGATGGCATATGCAGTAAATTAATTATATAGTAATACACGTAAACAATTATTTAAAAAAGAACGTAAAAGAAAAAAAAGACCGCCCGTCAGGTTTTGCATCGTCCGTACAGTGCTTTAAGCACTTGTCAGACTGCATAATTCTATAGAACGTTAAAATCGTACCTGGAAGAAAAATTGTATCCATGCAATCCGACTAGAGTTAAACGTACCGCTCATGTTTAGTATAAATAATATACGTTTTAAAATTACTTCTTAAAGACAAAACTTCTAACGAATCCAGTGTTTCCAATGTTACAGATGTACAATGAATTTCTAACTTTATTTTCGAATATTAAAAATATTAATTTATACATTTTTTAATAAATAAATTTTTTTCAAAATTATTTATTCTGTCAATTGATTCATGCATTGCCTTAAGCTTCACACAAGTGAGCAAAATTTCATATCAATTGGACAGGTAAAAGTGTGTCAAATATCAATTATAAGATTTGTAGCTGACAAAATTATGTTTTCAGTTTTTTTAATATTGAAAAAAAAAATTATTCATAAAAATATTATTTTTGTCATTTGATTCATGAATTGTTTTCAACTTTATGTAAATGTGCAAAATTTCAGATCGATAGGATAACTAGAAGTGTATTAAATTTCGATTACAAGATTTGTAGCAGACAGACAAACAGACAAATAATATACGTTTAAAAATTACTTTTTAAAGACAACACTTCCAAAGAATCCAGTATCTCCAATCTTACAGATGTATAATGAATTTCTCATCTATCGAGGAAACAGTTCGTTTCTTTACTGAAATATCGCAGACATATTTCGGCATCGCGGATTCCCAAAAAGTGTGTCGGACGTAGCATGTTTCCGACAGACAAACGTAATTTCTTTTTATATTTTGCAAGAAAACTAACATACGTATATGTTTTATCAGCTAACAAAATGATCAATTACAACATTTTAAATACTCCAGTTCTAATCTGCTTTAGCTGTAGTATTTACCAAATTTCTATGATCTCATTAACATCAATATCGAGGTATATTTCTAAAGCCGCATAGTTTTGAAAATTTAGTTAGGTTTTGGCTTTTTAAATGGAATAAATAATTGCAGAATAAATAAAACTTCATTATGCAATAACTGCTGAATGAGGCTTACAGCTGGCAAGGGTGAGGCCGCATGTCTGGGTGTCGTGCGGGTAGCCCTGGAAGTTCATTGGACAAGCGAAATCGACAGTCAAGCGGGTGCTGTACAACATGTTCGGAGTGCTCCTATGATGGGCGATGAAAGAGAGTAGTGAGGCTTCATTCGTGAAAACTTCGAAATGTTAATTTGTATTTGAATTTTCATTCTTGTGGCATCATAATTTACAACCAAACTTCACCAAATTGAATTAAACTGTTACCTATCTTGTGCTACATTCAAATTACACCCTACTACAGCGCAGTCATACGATGAATGAATTTAGAACAGTGTAATCGGGGTGCAGGTTGAATTAAATAAACTTAGAGCGCAGATTGGAAGCTAATTAATTTTGAAAATATACCCAAATAACCTTGGTTCTTCTCGCATAGTTTGGAGATTGAGAAAAAACGTATGTTTTTGCAGCACGCAATTTTTAGGCTTACTCACGGAAAGACTCTGAGGTAACTCTGCGCCTTGACGGTCTTCTCGCGTCGCGTGTTGGAGCCTTGCCTGAAGAACACGTCGGGTATCCAGGCTACAGACGCGTCGTTCAGCATCGCCCAACCGTCCGACATTATGAAGGGACTGGTCGTTCCTGACCCGAGAAACATGGTATGTCATGACTGAAATTCCATACTGTACAGTACGTACTAACTGATGAATATTGAAAGTAAATGGGTCTAGTATCTGCAATTATTTTTGACAATTTCACTTTCATACTTTAACTGACTTTTGCGCATTGGGAAGAATTTCGTAGATAGAATCTTCTTTGTGGGTAAAATGATTTGACACGCGTTGAGTAAAGTTACTTGCCAACGGTTTCAAATTATTGGGGATAAGCTCGGTTCGCCTATAAGTAAAAGCTTTCGTCGTACAATGACGGCCTATGCTAATAGCAGCGCTCTAGTTAGTTACGCGTGCTAGGGAATGGGACGAATCTAAAATTGTATGTCAGGTTCACATGAGAAAACCCTTTACACGCTTCATCATACAAAATTATAATTGATCTCCATTAGAATATAATAGAATAGAAGTGTCGGCACTGAAGAAATGGGCCCATGACCTGATGCCGATTCTTGTACTTTTGGTAACTTGATTCCACAAGGGATCCAGCTTTCGGAACCCGATCTCTCTATAACTGACGATTGATTGAGATAGCTGCTGGACTTATTGCCAGGTCCGTAAGGTGCTTGGCATTTCAAGACGGCAATGAAGACAATGTTATGGAATCAACAAAACATAAAATAATACAAAAATTTTCAAAAAATTTCCTGAAAATTAATTTTATGCACCTACTGTATTTTTTGTTACGTTGTAGAGGGCCGAAGCTCCTCAGACTATTGGTCTTCCGTCTTTTCATTATCTGATGTTTCGCTTGCCGTTGGAGTGAAATGCGTTTTTATTAAAATGAATATTGTTCTGGCTATGCTTGGCCAAAGTTCCTCTACCCATTCGCCAGGATAAATTGTTACGTACCCCGTATTTCTCATATTGCTGCGGTTGGCTATAATTGTCAGGCGAAATTCGGGAGACTGGCGCGATGCTTCCTCCTCCAAGCGCTGCTATTTCACGATTAATACGTATTAATTTGAGTCTCAAACGTTGCTTTTCAAATGTTGTTTCTCCCATTGGGGAGTTGCCCTTGAAGCAAATGGCTGATCGTACGTTTTCACGAAATATCTATTAGTTTTATTTAGAGGCTAGCCATTATCAAAATTATTCCATATCAAACTTCGGGTACGGCCTAGAGTTATGCCCAAGAGTCGCTACACTCGGGTTAAAGTTATACTCGGTCTGCTTGGCCACGTGATCGAAATCAGCTTCTGGTCAAAATCTGCTTTCCGACTTTATAGTCGCCTGAGTGCATAAGAAGAGTTGGCGAAGCCGAATCATATCAATCTCGCAAGTTGCTGAGAGGTTTCTTTTCAAACCTAGGTCCGATGCGGACATAGAGCGGCTGATTGTTTACTAATGATCTGCAACTATTTCATAGTCGCGCCCGAATCTAAATTTTGATAGGGTTTACGCGCGAATTCAAAGTTCACTTCTAATATGCCGGCTGACCATGGTTGGGCCAGTTTTTTTATGTTTGACCGTTATCTATGTATATTTCGTTTACATTCATTTGTTATGTGGAAGAATAATTATTTTATATCTCACGACTTCTCAATGAAAATCAGTTTTGTGGTACGAGTATAACATTTCGATGAACTACATTATAAGCGACATCTGCAGCTTTATTCTTGATAGAATTTCCCAATTCCCAATGTTTACATAGATTACAGTTATATTCCCGAAACAACACACGTTATGAATCCTTGAGTTCAGGTCACTTACGTGTAAAAGATATACGTGGATCGTGCCACTTCATCCTGAATGTCATGTCCACCGTCATCACCTGGAAAGAGGACACTATACGATGTACTGCTTGCATGAATCATCACGAAATTTTATAGCTTCCTGTAAAATTTGCACATATATAATGAATTGGGTATTTCACTGAGAATATTTACCCTATATTACACTAAGTTGTTGTTTTGCCATTAAATGAGGCATGGCTCGTGGCCTACCGACCTCTTGCTACTCAACTATAATCAATACCGATCCATAATTGAAATTAAGTAACATCACTCCTATAGAAATGAAATCGACCTCCAAATGATTCGTAGTTCTTCCTGTAATATTTTATTTTATACTGTACTTGAAATGATATGATTGCTAGGCTGCGCATATATACATAGCTTGGGGACCTCGTATATGAGACCAACAAAAGTAAACCATGCAAACTATTTCATGCTTGAAAATGTTTATCCAAGAATTTCAGTGCTAGATACAAAATAGTTTTCTGGACTCAATTAAATAGCACCATTATCATTTGCGTATGTATTAATGAAAAAATATAATATTGACTCTATTTGTTTTGGCCTTCAATAATCATAGGTGGATGAATGAAAATGAAATTGAATTACGAGTGAAAATCAGTATCCGTTTACTGCTTTACTTTATTCTCACCTGCGTTAAGTCATTCACTTTTACATCCCGGAAGTACAACTGAATTTCAGTATTGACTGGACCTAAAAGTAGAAAGAAATCATGCAATATTGTTATGCATTATGAAAGTATTAGAAGTGTTTGTGAAAAATTGGTTCGTATAATAAGGACGAATAAAATAGAAACAGATGGATAACAATTGGACACCATTTGAACACAGGGCTAGTGAAAAAAAATGAACGATATAGTTCTAAATATTCTGAATCACAAGTTATTTATATATCAATGCCGTGTCTTCATAAATTTACCTTGAATTTGTTAAAACGGCCATTCTGACGCGAATTAAGAGATTTAAATGTATGCTTTTTTGTAACCAGTTGTAGTCATTAAAATTCATTCTGAAAGTCATAGAAAAGCTCCTCAATCAAAAAAATTATGTACTGCCCACCGGAGGAGTTGGTGGGCATGACGTCCNAGCACACAACAGGATGATGATGAGTTCTGTGATGATGATTGCAGCACACAACAGGATGATGATGAGTTCTGTGATGATGATTGCAGCACACAACAGGATGATGATGAGTTCTGTGATGATGATTGCAGCACACAACAGGATGATGATGAGTTCTGTGATGATGATTGCAGCACACAACAGGATGATGATGAGTTCTGTGATGATGATTGCAGCACACAACAGGATGATGATGAGTTCTGTGATGGTGATTGCAGCACACAACAGGATGATGATGAGTTCTGTGATGATGATTGCAGCACACAACAGGATGATGATGAGTTCTGTGATGGTGATTGCAGCACACAACAGGATGATGATGAGTTCTGTGATGATGATTGCAGCACACAACATGATGATGATGAGTTCTGTGATGATGATTGCAGCACACAACAGGATGATGATGAGTTCTGTGATGATGATTGCAGCACAGTTCTCTGTTTAGCGCACAGACTAGAGTGCAGAACAGACTAGATACGCAGCGTAACCGGCACAGGATGTCGGAAATGACGGAACGCAAGCAGCATCCCGGATGAATGCCTGCAGATCTGGCACGTCCGTCCGCGATCCTGGTTCAATTTGCCACTGGAGGAAATCGAGTGATGTTACCATTACTTATACATGAATTTTATCTGAAATTTCGCTTTTGTTTAGCATACAAAGGCTGATTTTGTTTAGCATACAAATGCTGATTTTGTTTCCGAGTCATTTATTTTTATTTGACTAGATTTCCTGAAAAATGACTGGCTCATAGTCACAAGGTGGTTTATAATGGATCGTAAAAATTGACGAAATGAATGTTAACTTTTGGAAGTTTCTAAAGTATTTGCGTTTTTGTTGCGTTACTTGTTAAGCTCCAAATATGTATGTATTTTNGTCCACCATCCTCACATATTCCCCTCACTGAGCCAGAGCCAATACTGCTGATTTCCGTCCTCCCATGATAATTAACAAAATATGTTGCCTACACGTAGTATAGTTTTATCGTTTGTATTAGGAATAATTTGCAAGAGGAAAAGACTTATCCTTCGAGGCAATCGCCTCTCAATAATAGTTTGAAGCGCCGTCTAGTATAGATGCGGTGAAAAATTGTGATGGTTTTTATAATACTTGTATTACTGGCAGTCATTTTGGTAATAGATCATATCTATTCCGGAATCGTAATCGACTGACTCTCTGTGGCTGGATTTTGAATGGAACGACTCCTATATTTTGCTTACCTGCTCCGCGAACCTAATCCATTTTGTTTTTAGCCTCTGTGTTTATTAGCCCAGGTACGCAAACAACTGAAACGAATCATGATTAAATTTGTTTCCTTTCAAGTATTACGAAGTAATTATATCAAATAATTTGTTTCCGGCCGTAAACTTATTTATCTATAGAAGTCACACTTGGCTTCATGAACGAAGAAGAAACGTCCTAGTTCATGATGGGCAACAGGAAAAGAATGTTATGATGTCTGTAAAGTTAGCACACGGCAGTCAAAAATTCATATCGTTATGTATAAAGAAGTTAAAGATTAGCGTTAAGATTAGACCATATTTAGTTTGGTGTCGATTCTAAGCATCACAAAATTTTTACAGCTTGCTGCGGGTCGCTAGATTCTAAACCACTGCCTCAATCTAGCTGTCCTTAACTTCCCGGTCACCTCACCAGTTTCGATCACAATTTTACAACACTTCTCTTTAACTTCACTTCATGTTGTTTGTTTGTCTGCTACAAATCTTATAGTCGATATTTAATACACTTCTACCAGTCCAATCGATCTGAAATTTTGCACACTTACGTAAAGTCGGAGACAATTCAAGAATCAATTGACAGAATGAATAATTTTGAAAATTGAAAAAAGTATTTTGTAATATTAAAAAAATGTAATATTAAAAAAATTATTTTCTTTAATATTAAAAAATTTAAATATATATTTTTGATATTTGAAGATAAAATTAGAAATTTAAGGCACATGTGTAACATCTGAGACACTGGATTTTTTAGAAGTGTTGTCTTTAGAAATTAATTTTTAAACGCATATTATTTAAAACTAGTTGAAGCTCGAACCACAGCTCACTGCTCTAATCTCAGTCGTCTTAACCACTTTGTCGTCCCGCCGTGTATCTCTCATTTACTCATCTTATATAAGTAAAATAATACCAGAATGAAAAATTACGTGAATAAGAAATTGATAATCTTACTCTATTTTACATATATAATTATTCATGTAATGATTTTCTGATTAAAAAATAGGTTGAATTACAATTTTCAATAGTTGTTAAAAATTTAGCAGAGAATTATTCACATAAAATGGTGTAAATTATCAGTGACCAATTAACTCCCTTTCTTAAATTTCTTTTATGGTCATAAGAAAACAGAGATTTAATATTGTGCAAGAATTCCTCGTGAACATAATTTTCTCGTGTTTCATCCCGACTGCGAAGTTCAGTCACAAAAAACACGAACCACGATTACTTGGTATCGATAATTACAACCACTTAGAAGAACAAAAACAGGGCTACAACTATCGTTTTCTACCCACAAGTGCTACAGTATTTTATACAAGACTAGAAAATTACTGAAAAACAATTAATGAATCCAGTAGAAATGACCTACTTACAATGTATTCTTTCGGCTTGATAAACACTTGTAAGTTATCCTCGAGAATCGAAGGTATTCCTGGCCAGATTGTTTAATGCGATTAATTTCACGAGTGTTGCCCAGAAGACATACAAAAAATTTTCAATGAGTTAAGAATGTACACGAGGTCCTTAGCGGCACACACGACATCTTGTCGCCGCGCTGCCGGCCGCGCCTCACGTCGTCCAGGAGCTGCAGAGAACCCGAGTCCCCGAGCACGTGGGCGAACCCGGCGCTGAAGGGAGAAGATGGAGAGAGATCATATGAGTAATAATATAAGTTTAAAAATTACTCTTTAAAGACAACACTTCTAAAGAATCCAGTGTCTCCAATGTTAAAGATGTACAATGAATTTTTCATTTTATTTTCGAATATTAAAAAAATTAATTTTTAAATTTTTTATATATACAAATTTTTTTCTCAAAATTATTTATTCTGTCAATTGATTCAAGCATTGCCTCCGACTTCACACAAGTGTGCAAAATTTCAGATCAATTGGACAGGTAAAAGTGTGTCAAACATCAGTTATAAGATTTGTAGCTGACAAAATTATTTTTTCAATTTTTTAATATTGAAAAGAAAAAAATTTACTTCCAAAATATTTTATTTTGTCATTTGATTCATGCATTGTCTCCAACTTGACGCAAGTGTCAAAATTTCAGATCGACTGGACAGGTAGAAGTGTGTCAAATATTGATAATAAGATTAATTTGTAGCTGACAAAATTATTTTTTCAATTTTTTAATATTGAAAAGAAAAAAATTTACTTCCAAAATATTTTATTTTGTCATTTGATTCATGCATTGTCTCCAACTTGACGCAAGTGTGCAAAATTTCAGATCGATAGGATAAGTAGAAATGTGTTAAATTTCGATTATAAGATTTGTAGCAGACAGACAAACAAGAAGTGAAGTTAAACAGAAGTGTTGTAATAACAAGTGATGTCAAGGGAGAGATCGTGTGAGTAGCAGGTGATGTCATGGGAGAGATCGTTCGAGTACCAGGTGATGCCTTCACTTAGTCCTGGCGTTTTGCCTAGTAAAATTAAAAAAATATCCATAGTAAAATATTTCATTACACTTGTTATTAGGGTCAGTTCGCATAGTCAGCACATTCACACTTCCAGTATACAACCTGGAAGGGTGAGAGACCTCAAGCGTACCAGGCCAAGAGGAAGCAATAGAGACACAATGCCTTTCTTTCCTCTCACCAAAACACGAAGATGAATATATTCAGATATGAATCGAACTGAAATCATGTTAAATAATTTTAAACAAGGAATAAGAAACCGAATATCTAGGAACTTACATAATGTAGGCGTCCAGTAGTGTATTAAATTTCGATTACAAGATTTGTAGCAGACAGACAGACAGACAGACAGACAAGAAGTGAAGTTAAAGAGAAGTGTTGTAATAAAAAGAAGTGAAGTTGAAGAGAAGTGTTGTAAAAACTTAACTTAATCGTGACAGTCGAACTTAATCGTGAGGAGAACCCTGCATATACTGTATATCTTACCGAGGAAACAATCGATGGCCTTGGTGTACGCCACAACAGGTGCAGAGGTAGCAAAGTTTTGCGAGCCTTGAAGGATCGCCAAGAAGCTGATGGTGACAAGCAAGAGTTTGGCAACAAACTCCGTCCTTGGGATGAATTCGCTGAGAAAGGCCAAGATGACGAGGCTGACAATGGGGATGTAGATGC